AAGGAGTCCTGTAGCTCAGTGATTATTGCACTTGCCTTCCAGGTGAGAGACCTGGGTTCGATTCCCGGCAGGGCAAAACCTTGGACAAGTTTCCTTACTGCACTGGCCTGATAATAATCCCTTTAAAAACAGAGGCATTAGGGGATATGGGGATCGGGCAGGTAATTAGAGTTAGGTCTGAAGATCAGCCATGATCTTATCGAATGGCAGGGCAGGCTCGAGGGGCCGAATGGCCTACTCCTGCTCCTAATTCTTATGTTCTTATGTTCTAAGAAAAAAAACACAATAATAATTTGGTCACTCAATCCACGACTGTTTGTGGGACACTGCTGTGCGCAATTGGCTGTATGTTGTGGACATTTCGTCCACCAATATGCAGTCAATTCACTTTACAGTATATTCTGTGAAGCGCTTTCAAAGACGTGAAAAGCACAATATCAAATGCAAGAATTATAAGGATTGTAAATGAATATCAAGCTGCTCTCTTGCGCCTTATAGTGGTCAGAAAAAATTGTGGTTTAAAGAGGGGAGCAGACTCGCTTACCTTTGTGAGTGCACCTGGTCCTGGCTGCGAGAGTTGAGACATCGGGGAGAAAACAGAAATTTGATTACAATCCCTCTCCTCTATCTTCTGCTCTTTTTTAAACAGAAAGATAACTAAAATGTTATTTTACAGCTATTGAAAAAAATCTGAAGTCATCACTTCAAATATACCGTATTGTCATAAGTATAGATTGTGTTTCGGAAATGTTAATTACATTTTTGACGTAATATGTTAATGATTTGGTGGACTGTTATCAATATAGTTTCATGTTGCTTAGGTGTCAACCTGGTTCAGTTGGTAACTCCCTCGCCTTTGAGTCAGAGGTACGAGTTCAAAACCCACATCAGGACTTTGAGTTCATAATCTAGGCTGACATTTTGATGCTAGGCTGAGGAGCTCTGCAATGTCAGGGGCGATGTCATTAGCACATTAAACCGAGGTCCCATCCACTTAGTTCAGTTGGACGTTAAAGATTCCATGGCACTATTCGAAAAAAGAAGGTAATTTCTTCCTGTTTCCTGGCCAATTTCCCAGNAAAAAATTGGTTAATCACCTCATGGCATTTTACAGGACATTGCTGTGTGCAAATTAACTGTTGTGCTCATCACCACAGTCACTAAACTTCACAGTAATCAACAACAAATTGCATTTATATAGTGCCTTTCATGTCAGGTAAAATCCTGTGGAGCATTTCAACAATGTGATAAGACGTTCTATCACATTTAAAAAATCTTTATTTATATGATTAGCTCTGCATTCTCAACTCAATAACTACTTTAACATCAGATCACAATGGTGTCCAACAGTGGATCGACATAATATCAATAATTATTGTTTAATTGCTATAATAAGTAAAACATTTTATCTACTCTGCACTCTTTCATATCCAGTTCTCTTCATATCCAGTATTGGGCAACAATTGCTTGTTAATTGGTGCTGAATTTTAGTAGTATTTCCAACCCCTTGACCCAAAAGTTATTCATATTATGAATTTGAATCTCAAGAAGAAGTGATAGTTTAAAGCTTTTCGTGAAAAGTAAGAGTGGAACCGAAGGTTGATATAAAACTTATAGTGTCACGTATTTTAATTTACTGATTGGGTCAACAGTGCTCAGTTTAATGAGTCACTCACCTGTGGCTGTTTGCAGGATGTTGCTGATTTCAATAGCAGTCACAAAAACAGTGACAATACAGTACTTGGCAGTAATTGCTTTTTGAAGCAGTTTGAGATGTTTCAATATGGCAAGGCAAAGCAAATGTAAACTCTTCCTTTCTTTCCCACCCATGTACTCTGAGAGGATTGTGAGCAAGTCAAGGTTTTACTTCAGAGGGAAATAAGGGACAATTTGAACATTCTTTCAGTTATATCTGCCAAAATGCATTGTCAGAAATCCACAACAGGTTACTTTTTAATGGGAAAATGAAGTGTGATAAGGAGAGAACTGAAGGGAGGGGAGAAAAGTATTTGCTGGAAAGGTAAATCTCCTTTGATTCACTAACCGCAAGCCTCCCATTACTTGTGATTGCCAGTACACTACAAAGGTATATTTTGTTCTATTATTAACCCATCCTGTCATCTCTCACTCTATAGTAATTCGACCTTAATCTCTCCCCATCTCATCTCTTTCTTTTCGATAAGAGAAGGGGGCTTCTTCCGGTGTCTTGGCCAACAATCCCTCAGATAAACATGGTCATTCACTTCACGAATCTTTGTGGGACAATGTTGTGCACAAATTAGCTGCCATGTTTGCCTATAAAATACTGAGACACTACAATTTACAGAAGCACTTTGACAAGATGAGGTGCTACATCAGATGCACAAATTATAATTCCTTGAACTCAACCTGCCCATCCCATTGTAGGCAGGTGTCTAGTGACACTGGGTAATTCCCTACTGGGGGGCAGTGAGTTGCTTTCGTATGCCTCTTGGCAATCAATCAAACACAGCTTTGGCTTTGATTTGGGAGCAGGCTGCAGACACTATCCTCCAGACATAAGCACACGTTGTATTGTCTGGGAGGATTAAAGGTATATTTTCCTAGATCAAATAGAAGGAGAACTATACTGCTTAGCAGTATAAGACACTTTAGTTTAAATACTTAACCAAAAATAAACCTGCCAACTCGCAGGAAACAGCACCCAAAATAAAGGCAAGATGCTGGACTTAAATTTGCTGTTTTCTACCAGAAACTTCACAAGCTCACAAGCCTGGTTCTGATTAAAAACGCCATTTGGCTCATCTGATCTTATCCTTCACCTCAAGACTAATGTCAAACATCACGGCCCATGTCACATCACAATCTACGTCAAGCATCATGATCTGCGTCACATCACGACCTCCGTCACATCTCTGTGTCCCATCCCGACCATTATCACCTCACAGCCTGTATCATGTCAACCTGCAGGAATTTTGATCTGAACTAAGATTACATCAAAGGGGAATTTGCATGGATTGCTGATGTATGCAGTAGAACCTGATTATAAGTTGTTTGCTGCTTTGCTTGTACGTTTGCATTATGTACCTACTGTCGGCTTGGCCCTGTGGACTGCTGGCTTCCCACTCGCTAAGCATGCCATTTTTTAGTGCTTGGAAAAGCCGCCAATCATGTGATCAGTGATGTTGTGGGAGCTGACCAGCGATCGTGTCCTGTTATAGCAAGTTATAGCACTGGGTGGGAATTTATGGAGCCCAACTACTGGATTATAACAGCATTCCACTGTATATTTGCTTTCCTTATTGGGGAATCCCATTATAAACCACTGCATATTAGAGGGTTTTTGGGGGGACGGAGAGGCCAATGTTGCATTTGGTGAAAGGAGTTTGCAGAAAAAAAGACTTTGTTCAAGTTCATTACCCAGGTCTTTTGATGGCCTTCAACGTAGTATTGTTTCCAAAAAAAGCTTCCTTCCATTCCAGATATTGCTTCAGTAAAACAAGCAATTACATTTCAGTGAAGCAAGGTCTGCCTTTCCTTTGGTCACATTTCCTACTTTTGCCCAAACAAAGACATTTCCATAGGTCAGTTGACTCTCACGGGTTATCCTGGTCTATTTAATTGTTACAAAGCCACTATGAGAAGAATTTCCAAAGATGAACCCCATAGGAGGAAAACTGAACCTCTCTGATTACACAGCCAACATTAGATGGTGTTGAACAAACAAAGATCAGCTATTTGTTTTAGTTAAGGTGTTTCCTTTTTTATGCGTCAGGAAACAAGAGGAGCCACCAGAAAAATCACAGCTCAATTGTTTCATGGCAGATCCATCATTTTTATGAATGTGTGGCCAAACCTTTAATCCGAATCAGTTTGCAAGTGCTCGTCGAGACAATCTGAATTGTGTCAACGTTTCACTAACAAAATATACAGTCACTTCACTTTACGTCCTGTGAAGTGCTTTGAGATTTCTTGATGACCTAACAAGATGCTGTATCAAATGCAAGGATTATTATTATCATTATAATCAATCATTGCATCATTTATATGTAATGCCACCGGGATTCCATTGTAGTATAAAGGTTGAGGTCAGAGTACACACAGACTTTCCAAGCACTAAAATATGGCAAGTTCGGCAAGTGATGTTGACGATGATCTGGAAGTCAGACATTTTTGGAGAGGGGGAGTCAGACAGCTTTCTGCACGCACACCCTAGCCATGTTGATGACAGTTTGCAACAAGAATATCCCAGGGTTTCATTTTTTTTTAGATTAGACATGATTTATGTTTTTCCATTTCTTTCAAAACTGCCCCCATTTTTATAATTATAACCCTTTGGATTTAATATGAGCCTTATTATTACTATCGAAACATCTCAAAGCACTTTGAAGGATTTACTACAAAGTGTACAGTGACTGTGTATTTATGGGCGAACACGGCAGCCAATTTGAATGCAGCAATATCCCACAAACAGCCCTGAAGTGAATAACCAATTTTATCTGGAAGATTCATTGCCCAGGACACCAGAGAAAATTCCCTTCTCAGGAAAAAACTTCTCACAAGATAATCTCTTTACAGGAAATGGTGGGTGGGTAGGTGGGTGTGAGGATCGCTTTGCCGTCTATGGGGTATTTGTGTGCCGTCTAATGAAAGAAAGGATTTCTTGGTTGTTCCAAATGCCTTTTCTCACTCCATGCGTTAATTGGTTTGAGAAGCCATGTTCTGGAGGAGTATCAGTGTTCTAGTCCTTAGTGCATAGAACCTTGTAAGAAAACATGTGTACCGTAGAAGTCATGAATATCCATGTTAACTGTTTAGAAAATGTGAATATCTGAGATTAACAGCCAGTCAACTGATAATCCAATTGCTACTTTAATTATTTATTAATACAATTTGAATGTGCCTTATTTTCTGAAGATTGCCCCTCCCCATTTCTTCAGGAAATTGTACAGCGAAAATGAAACAGGTGAAATTGAATTCTGCCTTGATATTTATTTTTTCTTTTGCCTTTGAATTTGTAGTGTACTGAAACATCCTACTTCTTTGAGCTGCCCAACAAAGCAGCCTGCAAACATTTATGGAGGTGCTGTGTGGAATACCACACATTTTTCAGGTACGTGCCACAATATTGTGTTACTCTCAGGATTAAAGAACACTAAAGGGGACCTTGTTTCCTGTGGGAATCCTTGAACACCAGATGACAATAGGTAGGTGCTCATTTATACCAAATTGTAGGCTTCAAAAATGGTATAAAAATGGGCAACACAACACAGCCCTGAATTTGAATTGCTGGAAGCGTCTGCATTTGCATAGTGTAAAACTCTCTGATTGTAACATTTTATATACAACATAAAAAAGAAATATAGTCCTGTGGCAGCTGAGCTCCACCCAGAGACCACGTTTTCAGATCCAACCTTCATCATTTTTATTTCAGCAAAGTCATTTACCAATGTAATGAGCGAGGTTATGGGAAGTGTAACATCAATTTATTTGCCTTTCTCACTCTGATTAAATCACTGCTGAATGGACTCCTTGGAGATTACCATTTTTGCAGAGGCTTTAGGGTTGTTTTGCTGCACTGTCTTTTTTCAATAAAAAGAACAGGCTCCTTCAGGACATCACATTAAGTAACATGCTGCCGGGATACAATTTTATAATTGCAATACTGATGCTAATTGTATTCCTGTGCATCATATTCCAGTGTCTGTCTTCTATTCATCATTGTGACACAGTTGCACATCCCATCATTTCATGCATAATAATCAATTTTAATATAGTTTTAACATTCACAAACCTTGGAGCCTGCACTATCTGCTTGAAACACTGCAGACAGGTGTGTCATACCCATTCTTAGCAATCCAGAGCTAAATTAAGCTACAATGCAATGCTAGTCTAGACTTGTGTCTCCTGAAGGATTTTCACAGGGATCTGTTCCTAACCTGGAAAATCAGGAGAGGTGGAATGATTCAGTGGAGGAATTCTAACTCTCTCATACTTGGTTAACTTTTATTTATCTACCACTTTGTTTTAAATCAGCAATTTTTTTAATATAAAGTTTTTTTTGTTGTAAATGATCAAACTGCAGTTGTGTCCACTGGTATAAGTATTGCCTGGAATGGTCATTCGTTTATTCTTCTCTTTCTTTCTCTCCTTTACCCCTCTTCTGAACACAATGACTCATGTTGGAGTGTGATTTCACCTGCAGAATTGCTCCCTGTGAACCTTGTCCAACTTGTCTTTTATCACGTGAAAGGATTGAGCATCACAATGAGTGTCTGTTTGACTATAGATGCATCCACAGCTGAAATTCATCCTTGTCCCCACTTGATCCTTAACTTAAACTGCATATGATGGAATACTGCTGCTCATAGTTTGGGAATACTGCAAAATGTTTCTTTGCTATGTTCTTTAAGTACTTCCCCTTTTTCATTATGTTCAATCAGGCTGCCCGAAGCTGATGAGTATTCCAATCCTATGTCACGGAAACTGAGCAAGCTGGGGTCTCTTGGTTACAAACATCGGTACAGGTAATCGAATCTCACTGAATAAATGCTTTGCTCAGGGTAAAAACATTATGTTGAGGGAAATTCCTCAGCTGAATTAATTGCCTGTCTTGGTACATTAAAAGGGAGAGACTGGCAGAGGCGTTAGTAAATGCACACTCTGAATCTTGCGGTGGTTTTGATTTATAATAATTGCCTACTGCTTGGGTTTTATTGCTCAAGCTTGCGAGACATTAAAAATAGCATATCACTGCTGCTGGAATAATTCTCTCTCATTTATAATGGATCAGTTCAATCCCTTTTAATGTATACTAAATCTAGTAATAATATTCTGTAGCTGCCTTTTAATCACGCACTGTCTAATAAACTTCCTGTTCTTCTGCCTCCGATAATCTTTGATTATTCAGGCTAAATTCAATAATGTATCTCTTAGAGCTGGATGGGTATTGAAAAGATCAATCCCTTAGGGCTGCAGCCGCTGACAAAACTCAAACACATGCCACTGTGGTTTTTGAAAGGACCTCGGAACATTTCCCTTCTGGACCTGGTAGACCTAGTTTTGCAGTGACAAATAAATGAGGAACAAAGTTCGATTTGATTTTAAAGCACATTTGTACATGGGCTGTTTTAGAAGTGGAAAAGCTAGGTATTTTTTGTAAATTATATTGTTTAATGTTGTAAAACAAGGGCTATAGAACTATAGAAATATACAGCACAGAAGAAGGTCAACCCATCGTGTCTGTGCTGGCTCTTTCAAAGAGTAATCTTTTCAGTCCTATTTACCTGCCATACACCTATAAATTATTTATTTTAGCTATGTACCCAGTTCCCTTTCTCTATTATCTTGTCTTGAAGATCTGGCAGGGCATTCCACATCCTAACATTTCTTGATGTAAAACAAATTCCACCTAATCTTCCCCCTTTCCTCCTTCGTTAACTTTCTTAAATTGATGCCCTCTGGGCACTGACTCACTGACCAATTTCTATCTACTCTATCAATTTTAATAATTTTAAAGGCCTGCATTACGTCTCCCCTCAACCTTCTCTGTAGTCTCTGATCATGGGTCAAACCCTCATCCCTGGTATAAACCTAGCAAATCCTTGGCATCTTTTTAATTGGCATGACCAAAACTGAATGCAGTGTTCTAACTGCGGTCTAACTAACTAAAAGCAATCATGTACTTTTCCAGCCCTCTCCCCCAAAATACATACATGGCCCTTTGCAAATCTATTCCATTCAAGACAGTGATATTGCCAGATTACCAGCGTGCCTCACTGTAGGAGCTGAGAAAGTGTGGGTGTGAAGATGCCGGGAAGAATTAGAACGTTATTTTTCTTTCACATTATGAAATGAATACTTCCATATCTCACATCATGTCTGAACAGTGGCAGGACTGCGTTTCAAGTGAACCGAGACCAGTCCGTCGAGCTTCCGCGGCCTGACCAGAATGTACAGAGAACACGTAGTAAGACATACCCCAAGCGGACACATCCGTCTCAGCAATCAGGTAAGATGCACAGTGTGGTGACCTGACCAACAATCCTCTAAATAAAATTGGTCATTCAGTTCAGCTTCGCTGCACTTTCACATTCACATCACTTCATGACAGTTTGTGGGACATTGCTGTGTGTAAATATAATCTTTACAGGAAATCCTGGAAAGAGCTTTGAGTCCTCTCGACAGAGTGATAATGCGCTACATTCATTGCAAGGATTATTTATTATTGTTGATTAGAGAAACAGTCCCATTTCATGTCTAGTTAACAGTAGCCCAGTTATTTTAAAAATATGTTTTGTTTAATTCTACTATTTAATCCAAGTGTGATTTAAGAAATATATTAGTGGTATCCCCAAAATGTGATCACAGAATCAGACTGCTTAAGACAAAATGGGACAAATGTGGTGCCTCTCCTGGTTGAAAAAGAATTGTTGGAATGTTTGAGGAGATATTTGAGGCATTTCCTTTTTCCAATCAAAAAGAATTATCAAAGGAGCAATTGTAAAATATCACAGATGTTATTGAGATAGTTACAGAATCAAGTCTGTAAAGTCTGTAAAGTGCAGTGCTGGATATAAAGTGATATGCAATGATGGTATATAAAGGAATGTGTGGCGGTGTGTAAAGGGATGTGTGGTAGTGTGTAAAGGGATGTGTGGCAGTGTGTAAAGGGTTGTGTGGCGGTGTGTAAAGGGTTGTGTGGTAGTGTATAAAGGGATGTGTGGCAGTGTGTAAAGGGTTGTGTGGCAGTGTGTAAAGGGATGTGTGGCGGTGTGTAAAGGGATGTGTGGCGGTCTGTAAAGGTTATGTGTGGCGGTGTGTAAAGGGATGTGTGGCGGTCTGTAAAGGTTATGTGTGGTAGGTGTGTAAAGGGATGTGGTAGATGTGTAAAGGGATGTGTGGTAGGTGCGTAAAGGGATGTGTGGTAAGTATGTAAAGGGATGTGTAAAGGGATGTGTTCAATTCAAGTTGAATTCAAGATCCTCATCCTCACCTACAAGGCCATTCACGGCCTTGCTCCCTCCTACCTCTCCGACCTACTATCCCTCTACCTACCTGCCCATACCCTCCGTTCCTCTGGCTCCGGTCTGCTCCACATCCCCCGCCCCAACCGCCCTACCATCGGTGGCCGGGCCTTCAGCCTCTCAGCCCCGAGGCTCTGGAACTCCATCCCCCAGTGCCTTCGCCGCCTCCTCCCTTTCCTCCTTCAAGGCCGGTCTCAAGACCTTTCTCTTTGACCGTGCCTTCAGCTCCCCTCTCGACTCTCTACCCCCTCCTCGCTCCCTCCCTTCCCTCCCCTCACCCTAACCATTTCCCCCCTGCTCGGGTCCCGATCCAACTGTCCAGCACCTTGGCACGTCCTCCCGACATGAAAGGCGCTCTATAAATGAAATCTTGTTGTTGTTGATGTTGTGTGGTAGGTGTGTAAAGGGATGTGTGGTAGTGATATGGAAGGGATGTGTGCTGTGAAAGGTATGTGAGAATGTTGGTGTGTGAGGTTGGTATGTATTGGTGTGTATACAGTTCCCAATTGATATGTGTATTTCAAGATGTGATATGTGTTTATCATTATGTTCTCACGTTAAAAACTTCCATTACCAGAATATCAATTTCTTTTTCAAGTTATTAAACCTTTTTGCTGGTGTGAGCATGCCTTCGGGGGCGTTTTTCTTGTGCCTTTTCACTGGTAGAGGTAGAATCTGGCATCTGATTTGAGACTCTTCAATGCATTTGCAAAGCTTTTCTTATTGGTTTATAATTGCTGTGAGTAACTTATACTTCGGATAATACCAACCTGGCAAAATACCCCTACTTGTCACATCTCACGTGGAGTTGTGACTGAATAGAGATGTTTCAAAAACGTTGATTCTCTTGCTTGTGATTCTAAAATGGTTGCAATATATTGTACATTCAATTTTCAGCTGTTCTACAAATATAATGAACAGTAAAAGTTGCCTATCATACTATTTATTAACAGACAAGGTCCTAAATGCTGCTGAGCTCTTGTAGTCTAACCTTGAATAGCCTCTGCACCCCCTGGTGTTTTCTTTCAGTAAATTTAAATTGTAGGTCTCATTGAGTTTCCTCACTGGGATTCTCTCTCTCCCTTTGGTTTTAGTCACTTCAAAAAATACCTTTTAAAAATAGTAAGAATATTGCAAATCTCAAGAAGAGTAGTAGTTTTGCAATGGATTTGTGCCACTCTCCACCTATGAATAAAGACAACCTGTTCTCTGCATCATTTTATATCTGGCCCGCTTCAGATACTTTAGCTCAAAGTAGTTGAAACTGGCATCCATCCCAGTGTGTCAATGTGCATTATATTGCTCTATGGTACAGATCATATACAGTCAATTAACCTTACAGTATATTTTGTGAAGCTCTTTGAGAAGTCTCAACGATGTGATAAGGCGCTATATTAAATGCAAGGATTATTATTAACTTTATTATTATCATCTTGGCCCACTGTCCTGGCCAACAATCACCCCCAAATAAAAATTAGACGTTCATTTTGTGGCTGTTTGTGGAACATTGCTACTGCATTCACCTACAAATTCACAGTCACTACACTTTACAGTCCTGTGAAGCCTTTGACGTGAAAGGCACTGTATACCAAATGCAAGGATTATTATTATCTTGCCTCCATCCTCAAGGTGCTGCATTGCTGTGACATGCCAAAGTAGCACCAGCTCATTGTTCTTTTAAATGTTGTGGATTCATAAATGTAAACCAGCCACAGTTCTCTTTAGCGTGGTCTTAAAGGGAAGAGTGGTCTCGAACAGTTACATTGTGCAGTTACAGTTCAAAATTAGGTATTAATTGGCTCTCTAATAGGAAAGAGAGGTTAGAAATCAGTGGTTTGAATTGAGCAGGTTTAACTGGTGGAGTCTCAAGGGATTCATTCTGGCATCTCTGCTGTTACAAGTTAATGACTTCAACAAAGCATTTCTAAGAATAGCATCCAGCAGGTGTGGGACGAGGCTTGTTTTCAAAGAGATCTGAAGATGCTCAGTGGTTTGGCAGTTGTACCTTATACTGAGAAAATCCATCTTAACCATGTTGATTCCAAAATAACAAATACACATACAGTATATTTAAAGGGGGCTTTGTTAAAGAAAATGTTTGATTAAACGCTAAAATTGTTGTATTGTGCGACAGTAATTGTTATATTTTAGAGTGGACCCGAAGTGAAGTCTTGGAGAGATTGTTTGAAGCAATGGTGAATATTACACTTTGCTTTGGTTACTTTGCTTTGCAGAAAGAGATGGTTTGGAAATGCTTCCAAGAAGGGTAACACTGATGTTAAATCTGCAGAGCTGCTCATTGGGCTAAATCTGTTTTTGTTGCCTGGGGAAAAAGAAAACTAAGGAGAGAAAGAAGCTTTTAAGATGATGGAGGAAATCAGTTAGTAAGGTGCATTTGGACCACTTTATTATGTGGAATCAAGAGAAGAAAACAAGGGGACATAATTATAAGCCTCAAACTGATATACGTATCAGAATTAGTTTCACTGTTGAAGAGAGTGTCAAGCGGAGTGATGATAAATGCCTATTATGAAGCATTGAGCAATTTCTCATGTAGTATTGAGCTGATAACATGTAACATCAGACACTTACTCATTACATTGGTGGGCTCCTGATTAGCTGTATCACACTGGGCACAAATACAATACAATACAAAATTAAAATGGTACAGCACCTTTCATGTCAAGAGGACATCCCAAGGTGCTGGACAGTCAGAGATTTGGAGCCGAGCTAGGGGTCAGGATTGGGGAGGGTGGAGGGCAGGGAGCGTAGGAGGGTAGCCGATGGCTCGGTCGAAGAGGAGGGTTTTGAGACGCACCTTGAAGATGGCAAGGGAGGAGCGAGATGAAGAGAATGTGGGATAGAGTGCCCAAAGAGTGGGGGCAGAAAGGCTAAAGGGTCGGCCACCGATAGTAGGGTGGCCCGGGCTGGGGATGTGGAGCAGGCCAGAGTCTGCTAAGTGGAGGAAGCGGACAGGTTGACATGGGGTTAGCAGGTCACAGAGGTAGGAGGGAGCAAGGCCATGGAGGGCCTTGTAGGGATGGACGAGAATTTTGAATTCTATCCTCTGGCGGATGGGGAGCCAGTGGAGCCGGCTGAGGGTGGGTGCGATGGGGTCACAGAGCCTGGTGCGGGAGAGGACACGAGCTGCAGAGCTCTGGATGATCTGCAACTTGTGGAGGGAGGAGTTGAGAAGGCGACAAGCAGGGAGTTGGCAGAGTCGAGCATAGACTTGATGAATACGTGGTTGAGGGTTTCGACGGCCTGAGGGGTGAGGAAGCGGAGCTGAGCAATGTTGCGGAGGTTGGGGAAGGCAGAGGGGATCATAGCACAGATGGGGGGTAGAAAGGGTAATTGAAAGTCAAACAAGATGCCAAAGTTCTGGACTGGCTTTGTAAGGTGGAGTGTTCATCTCTGGATGGTGATACTGTCAGCGCCTGAGGTGTGGAGGCACTGACTGGAGCCAATCAGGAGAGCCTTGTTGACGTTGAACTGTAGAAAGTTAGCTCTCATCCAGGACTCGATGTCTGACAGACGTTCTGTCAGGACAGCAGTGGTCCTGGAGTCGTGGGTGGAGGCAGAGAGATATAGTTGGGTAAAGGAAATTATTCTGATGGTAGCTAGTTCAGAGTAGCTTTGACACTTGGGATCAGGGTTTTCAGCTACACTTGTTGTGTGGGCAAGAAATTAAATAATGTAGATTGAAAGAAAGAAGGCTCAAACTGTTCTCTGTCCCACCCTTACAACAAAACAAAGAGGATAATTTTTTTTGGGTCAGACAGTGGTCTGACAAGTTAACAAGAATCAAGGCTTAGGGACCCCAGAGTGTGCGTTGGGATACTGCTGGAGGTTAACCAGCTAAAACTGTGTAGCTTGCCATTGAGACCACTGTCTGGAAAGCTTCCCACTGCATCTTCAGCTAGGATCACTCAACCTACTAGGACTTTGAATTGCAGGAGGCTTAACAGGAGCAAAATGGGTAGAAGTTCAGTGTCAAGCAAACAGGGAGATGGAAACCTTCTTGAGTGAGTTCTATACATGGATCCAATGGACAGTGAATCGGATGATCCTAGCTGCATTCTGAGATTGCTATCATTTTCTTAACTTCTTGTCACAAAATAACCAAATGTTCCATAATTTGGAGTTGTTTGGGAAAGTGATAGGGTGGATATTCTGGAATTCTGAGGAGTACAAATGAGCTGAAGGGCCTTCCACATCTGAACCTCTTTGGTGATCCTGAATGTAATGCTTCTACTGGTTGACAGAATGCAGTTATGTCTGTCTCCTGAAACCTGGACATCACTTCCAAGGCAGGAGTCTGGTGTGGTAGTGCCATGTGTGGGTAATTTGACACACTTTGCGATCATTCCATTCTCTACTGTCCCCAAAGAACTGTTGTGCTGAACAGAGGGTTGTTATAGTCTGTAATAATTGGGTGGAATGCCTTATGTGCATAAATTCATGGCTGTTTTACTTAATCAGAATTAAGTAAAACTTCTGGGACCAATTTGCTCCATCAGCCATTCCAAGGTTTGTGCTAAGCATTAATGATGATATTTTTATTCAAATCTACAGTTACAGTTTTAATAATTACAGCTAGTGGGAGTTAAGACACTTTAATAACCAGGCCTTTATTGCAGGTATTGCTGGGTACTGCTCTACTAGCTTTTATGACTTAAACGTATATTTTCATTTTGATGTTTTATGACGAGTCCAAAGCATTTAAGTACAGTGATGCAGTCCTTATGCCATTTCTTTAGCCCTGTTTCAGCGCTTTGGGACGTGAAAGGCGCTCTATAAATGTAATTTTGTTGTTGTTGTGGATGGATGCTAAGATTGTACGGTTAGGAGCAGTGTAACAAGGAGGGTAAGCCTGAGGTTAGTGAGAGTATCTCAAGGAGACAGATACCCTTTCATCTATTTCATTGTAACCTTATAAATTACATTTTTTTAAAAATAAACCTGCTAATTTTTCTCCTTCAATTTTCCTGCTTCCTCCTTTTGAGATAAGTTCCTGAAATTCTTTACAAAAGTTATGTCTACATTCCTAAGCAATTTACAGGTAATATTAAAAGGGTTACGTTTTTATTCGAATCTTCTCCAGGGTGTACTTTCAGGGCAAAGTGAGCTTGCCTCCCTATTAAAGGCCAGCGGTGATGGACACGAGTCTGACAGCAGCTGCCACTGATTCCCTCTGGTCTGGGTCGATGGGTGTGGGTGGGTGTGTAGGCGTGTGGAGCTTGCTTGGTGGTAAATTTCACTTGCTTCTCATTTCCTTTTCCTGTTCATTTATTTAGTGTTGTAAATGTAAATGAGTACTCCGAGTACATTTCACCAATGTTATGAATATCTTAATGTTTTTTTTGGTTGGGAGGAAAGTAAATCAGACGGGAAAATGGACTCTCTCGAAGCAGGCTCTTTGGCTCTTTAGCTGAAAATGAGATTTGACCATCCAGCCTAGGACTGTGCACAAGTCAGTCACTGCTGGCAGATTATATGAGTTTTGGTTTATGATGCCCGATTCTCATTAATGGTGAATTGTTTGGATGTATTTGATGGTTACTGTAGGAGGAGGCACACTATCAGAAGAGGATGCCAAAGAGAGTCGAGGGGCAGGAATCCTGGTTAGCTTTCCCCTCCCTAACCCTTCATCCTCACCTACAAGGCAATTCACGGCCTTGCTCCCTCCTACCTCTCTGACCTACAATCCCCCTCTACCTGCCCGTACCCTCCGTTCCTCTGGCTCCGGTCTGCTCCACATCCCCCGCCCCAACCGCCCTACCATCGGTGGTCGAGCCTTCAGCCTCTCAGCCCCCAGGCTCTGGAACTCCATCCCCCAGTGCCTTTGCCGCCTCCTCCCTTTCCTCCTTTAAGGCCGGTCTCAAGACCTTTCTCTTCGACCGTGTCTTCAGCTCCCCTCTCAACTCTCTACCCCCTCCTCGCTCCCTCCCTTCCCTCCCCTCACCCTGACCATTTCCCCCTTGCTCGGGTCCTGACCCAACTGTACAGCGCCTTGGGACGTCCTCCCGACGTGAAAGGCGCTCAATAAATGGAATCTTGTTGTTGTTGTTGAAAGCCAGAGCAGATATAACCTTCTCAAGCAGCCTGACCTGAGATTGGCAAACTGAGCACAGCACAGCGAGCTCCAGGTCTATAAGCTGCAGTTCTATCCATTTTACCGTTGGGGTTGCCTCCTTAAACTTGCTCTTATTTAGAATCCGGTTTACAAATTAAGATGGAATTGAAGAATTTTCCAAAATTTATACAGTTTCGAATTTTAAGCCTAAATTTCCGGCAGATGGCAATGGGAATTTTGAGTTTTTTTTCACTCCCTGGTCCAGGGTCACTGAGGTCAAATGTAACGTTCCAAGTGCTGCCTCAGAGTTGGAGTCAAACCTGAGGCCTGGTTACTATGGTTTAGTTTGACTCTAAGCAGACATTTTACCAACTAAAACATTGGGGCATTATGTACGTTTCTCAATTAACAGATGTGTAATGTTGATCTATGGATCTGATTCTTACCACAGGTCCAAACAGTGTCGGCCACAGTAACATAAAAGCAGAGCAGGTGGAATGTGATGGTACCACCAAGATTATCGCTCCCTCACCAGTGAAAAGGTAAATATTTATTTTGATCAGTGAATCCACGAGTGTTTGTGGGACACTGCTGTGTGCAACTGGCTGCTGCATTTTGCCTACAAAATAGCCAATCCACTTAACAATATATATTCTGTGAAGCACTTTGCAACATCTCAACAATGTTTTAAGGCGCTGTATCAAATGCAAGGATTATGATTATTATTTTTGGTGGAAAAATCTCTCTTAAATTCCCAAGGTTGCTCATATTTTTTCCTGCAAGTTTCTTTTTTCCTCTCCTTTTGCAGTTTCATGTACGGTCCTCATATAAATAGGCACAGCAATGTTTAGCAACAAACAGGAAGTGAATAGGGGATTTTATCTGAAGGATTATTGATCAGGACACCCTTCTGATTCTGAGTCAAGAATGCTACTAACTGAGCCAGACTGGCACCTGCCTGTTTGCAGGAAGTACTGGTAATACCATTTCCTGCAGGTGCACAACTTGCTGAAAGTAACATCAGCAGCAACATCGTGAATCAGTAGATGGCCATTTTGTAACGCTTCACTTATAATATGTGCTCTGAGCTATTGGACCCAGAGGATCTTATTATAAGGTCCCCCTGTATAATGAATGATATGCTAAGTGTATCTTTGCAAGTGAGAACAATGAATGCAGCCTACAATTTTGGTGATTGTGTTATATATCACTAAGGATGCTCAGAGGGAGGTAGTGCTCTGCACTCTGATGAATGAGAGTCTGATGGCAGGCAGTTCGGCTACTTTTATTGCACACCAGTAATGTTGGCACTTTTAACTGAAGTATTTGCATCCAAATATTGATTGATGTCATGCAGGTGCACTTAGAAACACCATAAATCCACAGCTTGTTTCCACTGAGTGTTTTTTTTCTCTCCACTATCACAACAAATAAAATGGTCCTGGTTTATGCCAGGTCCATGACTCCAAGACACTTCAAACATCCAATTCCATTCTTTGCTTGACTTTGCTCACTGCAGTGTGGTTTAATGCCAGGCTAAAAGTAATTCTAAAACAAAAACAGCTTCTTATCCTTGTGTTTTAAAAAAATTGCTTCTAATCCTTGCATTTAACTCGGGACGTTTTGCTCACAAAATATACAATTAATTCACTTTAAAGTATATCCTGTGAAGCATTTTGAGACGTCTCAAAAACGTCATAAGGCGCTATATCAAATGCAAGGATTATTATTATTATTAACGTGTGCCACAGTTAACCCCAGAATCCCTAGACAGTGTGGTCCAGGGATCCAGCCAGGGTTCTCACGTCTATCCACTAATCACTGATGGAAAATGTGTGGCTGTGTGGACAGGATCATCCTTGAATTAGGGCGTAGCACAGGAACATTTTTAGATAGCTCGTGGTCAAATAATTGTCTCTAGACTCACATCAAGAACAGCCACTTGGGCGAGGGAGTGGAGGTTGCTGGTGCCTCTGACCAGACCGCAACACAAGGCACTGCCTTCAGCAGTGTGATGGATAGGAAAAGAACATAGGAAGAAAAAGCAGGGGTAAGCATATTGATATCCTGAAGAAGTGCAAACTGTTGGCAAAGTCTTCAAAGGTGAAGTATCTTCTCAATGTGACTTGTGGACTGCGTATTTTCTTGGCGCGTGGATTCTAACTGTAACCCAAGCAACTACAGACCTATCAGCAGTCAACCCAGGCTTGAAGTACTTCTCACACAGTGCTCCAGGGCAACTCCCAAAAATGTCAGGCAGCTTTAGCTACTACGTTTTATGTATGTATGAGGCTTCCCATTAAAATGCTGAGATTATTTCTAAATCTAAAATAATTAATAAAATTCAGAATTCATGCAGCACATTTAATGATATGAGTGCGAAGCACTTGAGTAGCTATGGAACAGAAACGAATCTTAACATATTACACAGAAAAATAAAGATTTTGTACAAAAAGTGAAAGATATACTTCTAAACGGTTGTAAAAAAATGATAGTTTATCAAAGCTGCTGCATGATGTAAAGGGCAGACATCAATGTCAGTACAATCACAAGTACTGGGATACTGCAATTAGATGTAAGTTTTAAATTATTGCCAAGCAGAAAACCTCTGCTAACACCATTAACCCCAGCTCATCTCACACAACACAGCATTAGATCACTTGGATTATGCAGTGCTATTCATCACATGATGAGAACTTTCAGCACCAGTTCTCTACCCAGCAGTCTGCTCCTGAGGATGTGAGCACCACTTCCACAGACCATAGACTGAATGAACAACAACAACAACAACTTGCACTTACGTAGCACCCTCTACGCAGTATAGAGTCTAAGAGCACTTAGAGAGCTCGAGCTTAGAATCAGAGCGTCTCTCAGGAACCCTGCCTCCCATTGCTGCAATGGAAATATTGGGAGTCTCCAAGATAGTCATACCCGGTATCTCTTGGAAAACAATTTGCATTTATATAGCGCTCTTCACGCAGGGTTGAGTCTCGGAGCGTTTAAAAGTGGTGGAGCCTGATGATGAACCGGGAGGAGGGAGGACGTGACCATGAGCAGCGGTTGAAAGTCTTCAGGCATGATTGAAAAAGGAGAAGGAGGAAGCAAGGCAGAGGAGGGGAAAAGTTAACCTGGATTCCTTTCAGTCTCAGGAGAGAGGAAAGGAATCCAGGTTAACTTTTCCCCTTCTGCCCTGATCAGGCGACATGGCTCAAACTGAAGGCCAAACCTGGGACCTTTCTTGCTGTTTGTGGATCAATATGACAACACATTGTTCATTGACTTGCTAAAGCTCATTTGTAAATTAATATTGGCAATAGTGCATCAGTATGCAGAATTAATGTCACTGCATCTATTACTAAAATCAATGAAACACTTTGGGGGTAATATTGTTTTGTTTAAAATGCTGATGGTGCAAAGACTCCCTCTAGCAGTGTCTATAAATTATTGCAGCCTCCAGTTCATAATGGCCTTCCCCTGTATTGTTATTTTTTAAAAATCAAAAATGAAACATATTTTAGCACTTGAATGTGATTGTACAATATGTAGGCTTTCCAGGCGGTCCATTTCTAACAATAATTTAATTGTAAATCATATTTCGGGCTTTGAGAGGCATTTATTATTAACATTATTCGCATTCATTATTATTAACCAAGAATTCGATGAACATTAGACTCACTGACCATCTATATTTCTTTCATACATTCATTATTGTGATAAAAACATAAACACTAAATTACCATATTTCTACTGTCACATAGTACATCGCTGTGTCTAGACCTGTTGAATAAGTGATTTTAATAATATGCTGTTGCATACATGAGGGAGAAAGGAATACAATGCAACACAAATTTACATTTACATCGGGAGGATGGTCCAAGGCGCTGAATGGAGTTTATGGCACCAGAATCAACGACAGCAAAACAGAAATGAAGAGCTGCAAGTAAACCACATTACTGTATAACAATTACATAAATTTACAGGACATTCAGCTCAGTTACAATATGCCTGTCTCTGTCCCCCGTACGAGCCTCCATACATCCTAATCCCTCCCTAGCCTCCCGTTAAATCTTTTTGATGGAGTGAATAGACAACTCCCCATTGACAATGCAGCCATTGCATGTCACTCAGGCCACCACTGAGACATTTGCATCTCACCTTCTTACACAAAATAGGTTAACAATGCTGATCAGCTGAAGGATAACCTTAATATTTGCGTTAGTCTTTATATTTGCAAAACACAAATGGTATATAGTACACCATGTTTCAGAACACACTTTACTTACCTCTGCATGAGCCAGTTTGATTGGATGTCGAATTTGTCTAGTCTTCATTTATAAAGAATTAGTTTAACACATCTACGATTTCCAACTCCTCCCAGAACTGGTCATGTCTTCAATACCCCACTTATTTCACACGTAACTGTAAAATAAACATCAACCCACTACAAGTAATTTCCCCCCACTTTGTTTTGCATCATTAACACCTCTTTCACCCATTATCCCCTCTCCTTTACACCATTTTCTCCTTTGTCTTCCTTGTCCTGCCTCCCCCCTCTCTGTTCGTCCTTGAAAGCCTCTCCCTCCCAACATGCCCCATTGCTGACAAAGGGTTGTGGACCCGAAACATTGACTCACTTTCCTCTCTCCATAGATGCTGCTTTACCTGCTGAGTGTTCTCAGCGACTTCTGTTTTTGTTTCAGATTTCCAGCATCTGCAGTATTTTGCATTTTGTTTCTTATTTTGCCCTCTCACCAATTCTATTCGTTTTAGTTATCCTTTTTTTAAGTTTTTAAAATATTAATTTATTTTGCTTTCTTTATTCAGCCACCACCATTTTAGCCACATATTTTCTTATACAGATTTTACTGGTTTCCTTTGTGTATTCCTTGGGAAAATGTTACCCCTTCAAGATTGTTTTATTCACCCAGGCTCTGTTAGCTCACAAGTTGCCAATGAGTTTACTCCTCAGCAGCACTCTCTGGCTTGAGGCAGGTTTTGTGTCAGGGATGAATCTGGATGACCTGGGAGCCTAGACCTCTTACTGGTTACAAAACCAGCGGATTACACCCAGTTTCCAGCGAATAAATGAACGCTCTGAAAACAAAGTTATTCCCAAACAGGGAGACAGAGTCGTTCAGTTAGGCTGCTGTACATGAAATCTTATCTAGTATCTGCCCTAGATCTCTGCTTCACACATTGTGTTGAGAAACAATCACTGATGAATTCTGAAACAGTTTATACTTTACCCCTCCTTTCAGGGCATTGGGTTGCATGGAATTCTCAGTTTGGTTTGGATACTCTTAAGCATGGTGAGTTTCTGCACGTGTCAGACATGTGGAAACTAAAAAAAAATTTCAGCTGACTGAAAAAAACATTTCAGGTCACTCCTGGTGTGCACACCCCATATTTATCATGATTGTTCGTTTAATTGCTGAAGCAGCACTTAGTCTATCCGATTACTGTCAGCAGGTGGTTGATAGCAGTTCCCAGTTGGTGCTTTGTTGCCTTTATCAGCATATAATTTTATTTCTGCTGCAATGTTTTATTTCTGCTGTTTTGCGCACTTTGTTTTACTCTTTACTGGCCTGAGGTTTACTGCTGAAACTCTGGTCCACGCCTTTATCACCTCAAGGCTGGACTATGGGAACTCTCTCCTCGCCGGCCTTCCCGGCACCTCCCTCCACAAGCTGCAGGTCATTCAGAACTCTGCAGCTCGTGTACGTCCCGCACCAGGCTTCGCGACCACATCACTCCCACCCTCGCTCGCCTCCACTGGCTCCCCATCCCTCAGAGGATCGAATTCAAGATCCTCATCCTCACCTACAAGGCCATTCACGGCCTTGCTCCCTTCTACCTCTCCAACCTACTATCCCCCTATCTACCTGCCTGTACCCTCCATTCCTCTGGCTCCGGTCTGCTCCACATCCCCGCCCCAACCGCCCTACCATCGGTGGTCGGGCCTTCAGCCTCTCAGCCCTGGGCTCTGGAACTCCATCCCCCAGTGCCTTCGCCGCCTCCTCCCTTTCCTCCTTCAAGGCCGGTCTCAAGACCTTTCTCTTTGACTGTGCCTTCAGCTCCCCTCTCGACTCTCTACCCCCTCCTCGCCCCCTCCCTTCCCTCCCCTCACCCTGACCATTTCCCCTCTCCTCGCTCCCTCCCATTCTCCCCCCCCAAAGCTCGGGTCCTGACCTAACTCTCCAGCGCTTTGGGACGTCCTCCCGACATGAAAGGCGCTCTATAAATGGAATCTTGTTGTTGTTGAGGTTCACCAATCACTATTCTGCAAATTTTAGAAGTCAATATTTGCAAAAGAGATTCACAATTAAAGCATCAAAACCAGTTTGCAAATACTGTATTGCATTCAAAACCTCAACATCAGTATTTGAATTCAGTATCTGCACTATTATTTCTAGACTTTTCAGATTTGTGCAAAATGACTTAATTTTGTCATGCAGTAGCTACTCATCCCTAATTGACAATTTTATTCTATTTGCATTTCTCTTTTTGCCCTGAACCACAGAATCTCTTCCTGTTGCTTGATTAGCAATAACTGTAATAACTAATTATGAACAACATTTATTTACATTTAAATAGCGCCTTTCATGTCAGGAGGACGTCTCAAAAGGGTTTCACATCACTGACTGGGGGCTGTGAGTGAGGGGGGAGCTGGGGAGGGGCGCAAGGTGGCCAAAAGTTTGGTCAAAAAGATAGGTCTTGAGGCAGGTTTGGAGGGAGAGAGGGATGTAATGATGGATGGATGGATGTCCAGGGAACAGAGGCAGAATGTCTGAAAACTCAACCACCGATGAAGGAGTCGATCGAACAGGGAACGTGAAGCAGGTCAGTGTTTTCTGAAGGGATGGAACAGCTGGGGCAGCTCCATTTGCATATTCTCCCAAATAATAATAAAAATCCTTGCATTTGATATCGCGCCTTATCATGTCTTCGAGACATCAAGTCCTTCTCTAAATTTACTGTAAAATGAATTGACTGTATATTTTGTGGGCGAAACGGCAATTGCCCACAACAGTGTCCCACAAGCAGTCGTGAATTAAGTGACCAAATTATTATTTATTTATTTATTGAAGGGATTATTATCCCCGGAAAAGTGATCCTTCAATCGACTGACCTGTCCCTTTCCTCTCTGCTCCTTGTAAATACACTTTCTCATTGTACTCCACTTGACTCTGAGCCCTTCTCTTGGGCTCTACATAACTGAGCACAGTAGATCTGTTGCCACAGGTCAAGAGGTTAAGCAAGCTGATTTACAAGTTCCTTCCATCTCTACTTAGCTCTAAGGTAACAAAACCGGAATGTAGTCCAGAGGCACGACAACAGAGAAGCAACGCTCCGTGGGAAGAAAACGGTCCCCAAAGGTAGGAAAAGCTTTCATTAACACTTTCCAGTATGTTAACCCTCCGTGGAGCAAACCTTCATCTGCTTAGTCCAGCCATCAATTAAATTACTCGTTGGTTTCTTAACCACTAATTTCAATGAGTCAGCAGAATCGTACTACAAGCTTTAACTATTACAATAATGTTTCTCCCCTTTCCTGGCATCGCTACAGTTTTTTCTTCTATAAGTGCAGCTCCTGGGCACCAAATTTGACCCAGAAAGAGCTGCCCAGCACCCACATTTCAGCCACGTTTGACCAACCAAGATACTTGTTTGCCCACCGCACCTTCAAAAGGGCATGAATGTGTTGAAGAGAGTTGAAAGACAAGTGAGGATGATCCAAGGGTTTAGAGCTCTGATTTATGAGGTGAGGCTTATAGATGTGAATGTGATCTGATTGGAGAAAAGACAAGCGAGGGAGGATGTGGTCCAGCACCTTATAATGTGAGAGGCACAGCTGATACAGACGTAAAGCAGGCTGTTTGACTTAGACTGCTCTAGCACACTAAAGGAAATACATTTAACATTAACAAGTCTCAAACAAGGATGTTTAGAGCAGTGGGATACAGTATGTGGAACAGACTTTCAAGAAACAGCAGTTGGTATTTTGTCAATTAACTCCTCCAAATAAACAGTATTGAAAAATAACAGAGTCATATGAACAAATACTGCACAGGACGCAATGATTTCTGGGCTGTTGGAGGGAGGGGTGAAGAGGTAGGGATGGATCCATATTTGGGAGTTTTAATTGAATTACCTTTGGGGATCAGAGAGTTCTGTGCTAGGGGATGTCAAACTCATTCAGCTGTCAGGGCCAGGTAAGTTGGATTACACCAGGGTTGGATTTGAACCCAGTTCTTTATGATTGATTGACAGGTAGTGATTAAAACTGGAGCATTTGTCAGTGTATTGTATGGACAATGCTTCTTCATTGCTCACCTGACTTGTTACTGCCCTCTCTCCCCTCTTTCAAGTCCCGCCTGAAAACTTTCCTGTTCGACCGTGCTTATGGCCACCTTCCCCCTCCCCCTGGCTTGGAGTCAGGTTCCGCCACTGTTAAGCTCTCTGAGACGCTACCCTGCTTGGAGGACGCTATATAAGTGCAAGTTGTTGTTGTTTTACTGAAATAGTTTAGCTGGTTTAATCCCAAAGCTCTTGAAACACATTAAATTGCACAGTTGTCTGGGCCCGATCCTGGTCAACCACAAAACATTGTTTTGCAATCAACGGGACAAATCAGGTCTGAGATCTGGATTCAGGTCAGATCTTGACACAAAGCCACAGCTCAAAATGTTGTGGTAGCGCTGTGGGATTAACAACAATTGAGGGATATTGACAAAGATATCCTATTGTTTGGCAAGCCTCCTCATCATCCTTTCTTTTCTCTTCATCCTCCATCTGTCTTTTCTTTTCCTCTGCTTTACTTTCTTTACCTTATTTACTTTCTTTATGTTGCATTTGCAAAAGTAACTTCTCGGCAGTCCCCCCAAATTTCTCCAGATGCTGAGAAGCATTCCCTTGCTTACTTTTCTTTAAACTTTCCTCGTGCCTGCATTCACTTTCAGTCACCCAGTCATTAAATGCGGATATGTGAGCCTGCATATCATGCCTACATTCCCACAGCGCCTTGTGCAACTCACTCTGTACCCGAGACATGTTTGGCTTCAAAATTCTAAAAGTTCCTGCCACAGGTTTTACGCAAACCTTTCTTACCTACTTTTCATTCACAACAGTATTATTTTCTTTCAGTGGGATGTACATTTCTCCAAATGAACGTAACAAATCACCAAAATTCCCTCACCCCAGGCGGCGGACTCCTTCTGGCGGAAGTGACAATGAATCAGGACAGCCTGGGAGACGACGGTAAAATGATCAGTCAAACCTGGTTTAGCATTTATTTCAATGATCAATAATTAGAAGCGATTGGTTGTACTCTGATGCTAGAGGTCTGATGCTTCGTGAGTCATTCTAAGTGAACATTATAACTAAGTGAGCAATGCATTATAGAGCCTACTATCTGCACTATTTGGGACCATTGCCACTACGGACAGAAAATAATTGACTATTATTCCATGTTTCCGGCATTACACTATAGTGTAACTGTGACTATAGTGTACACTATTAGAGTTACACAGTTCACAAGGTACCAGAGGTACACTGTGAGTAGAATGGGTAAACAACATATTTGGGTACAGAATTAGCTTCTTACAAATACTTGTTTCAAGCATTGCAGATTAAATCCTACCATCCCCACCGTGGACCAAGTGTCGATCAGAACTGAGAACTGTTGATTAGAGGAAGCAGTGTGGGAGAGTAGGTGTAAGTGAAGAACTCTGGACTGTAATTTCAAAGGGTGGTGTTTGTGACCTCTCTTGCTGAACAAGCTATGCTTAGACATAAACCCATGTAAGCCTTGTATGAAGCAAAGGTTTGTTCTGGGAGGCAGAAGTGCAACTGCCTAGGTCATTAACTACTGCAGTTATTTGATGTCGAAATAATAAAAACAGATGCCATCTGATGTTAACTTTTGTAACCTAAACAGGAAAAGCCAACACAATGGTGAGGATACTGATCCAAAGCAACAGAGGAGAAGGTATGTTATTTAAAGAATGGTCTTCGAGTGCACAAAATGTGCGGAAATGTGTGCAGAGCAAAGCAAAGGCTTAACTAATTTGCTCACAGTTGTTCAAATCTGTTTACATTTTCTAAGGGAAGCTAAATCTATTTAAAACATGATTTACAAATAAAGTCTATTAATTTCAAAAATACATTTGAACTCTTATAAAGTCTTTAGGTCTCTTACAAAGTCTCTTTTTAACACTTTAGCCTCCACCAGTAATAACAACGACAACAAATTACATTTGTACAGCACCTTTCACGTCGGTCGGTAGGACGTCCCAAGGCACTGGACAGTCAGGGATTTGGACCCGAACAGAGGGTTGGATTGGGAGGGGTGGAGACCAGGGAGGGTAGGGTTAGGAATGTGACTGAAGGTGAGGTCGAAGGAGAGGGTCTTGAGGTGTGCCTTGAAAGAGGCAAGGGAGGGAGCAAGACAAAGTGATTGTGGGATGGAGAGAGGGATATAGAGGCTGAAGGCCTGGTAGGGTGGGGGATGTGGAGCAGGCTGTTGAGCGGAGGGAGCAGACTGGTTGATATAATACTATTTAATTGTCAAGAAGCCTGCTGGCCCAATATTTCTCATGAACTTATAGAGTTTACAATAACCCATGAAGTACTTTGAGATATTCTCCTGACATGAAAGGCGCTACATTAAAAGTAAAGATTATTATTTTATTATTATTTAGCCTTAAGGTCATGCAGTTTTTGAAAATGCTGAAATCCACTTTATTTGAAAACCTTTTTAATAATTACACAAAAAACGACTTTTAAAGTAGAATTTAAGATTTTTCTTAACTTTCAAGGCAATGATTTTAAGGCTGAGCCCATAAATATGTTTGGGCCTCTTGATGGATAAGAGAAACTCAGGAAATTAGGGGTTAGCAAAGCTTTTGACACACTGCCACACAGGAGATTAGTTCACAAGGGCGGAAGACACATAATAGGAGGAAAGTTTCCAAAGTGGATTGAAAACTGTCTGAATCAGAGGAAGCCAGGAATATTATTATACATTAAGCTGCGACAGTGTGGAATGAGGTGACTGGTGGATATCTTGGGATCAGCATTAGGATTGTTTACAGTGCTAATAACACACAGAACTGCTTGTCCCAGGGAGACAGGAGGTTCTAAGGTTCAAAGTTCATCCAGACTCACATCCGCCAATGAAAGCAGAATCCATCCCTGTGTACTGGTCTTATCCTTCTCTTAAACCTAGTATTTCACGTCTTATGTGCTTTTTCCTCAGGTCTCGATCCCGTGGGAACACCAGTGGCAGCGGGAGTGAGTCTGAAAATTCCAGTAGAGAGCGTAAAAGAAGAAACAGGTACACAGGCATTAGAAAGAATATACATATACACACATATATATATGGATACAGGGAAAGGGTAGACAAATAATAATAATAATAATCCTTGCATTTGATATAGCGCTTTTCACGGTGGGAGGACGTCCAAAGCGCTTCACAAAACACACTGTAAAGTGAATTGACTGTATATTTGTGGGCGAATGCGGCAGCCAATTGCACACAGCAATATCCCACAAACAGTCGTAGATTGAAAATGACCAATTTATTATTGTTTTTGGTTTTGGAGGGATTATTATTAGGCTCTGTGTGGAGTAAGGAAACTTGCCCAAGGTTTCGCTCTGCCTGGAATTGAACTCAGGTCTCTCACTTGCAAAGCGAGTGCTCTAACCTCAAAGATGTTGTTAGTTCCAGTGAATGATTTTTAATTGGTCAGTTGGGTGTCTGACACATGCAGAAGCCCATCACCGTGCTTAAGAGTATCCAAACCAAGCTGAGATTTCCATACCTCCCACCTACACATGGAAATTCCAGAGACAGCCTGTTGGAATGGAATGCACACTTTCTCCTTGGAGAGACGCATCTTGCTTACCTAATTTCAGAAAGTATTAGGCACAGTTTGGCAAGAACCAAGGTTTAGGGACCTCAGAGTGTGCATTGGGGCACTGCTGGAGGCTAACCAGCTAAAACCAAATAGCTTGCCTTTGTTATTGCAAGCTTTCCCGCTGTTTGTCCAGCTAGGACCACCCTACCAGTTAGGGTTTTGGCTTGCAGGATTATCAGGATCTAAGTGGGATGATTCCATGCCCCCGGTGACTGATCTGCTCTTCCATGTCGTGCCGACAAGCCAGGCTGGCTGTGAGGTCTTCAGATAGTACCAATTCTGAAGACAATGCCTTGGGACGTCCTCCCACATGAAAGACACTATACAAATATAATTTTGCATTTTTTTGGTATTTCCTGAGCCAGGCGGATCCACAGTATTCCTGGGCACTACTGATAATGGCACAGCTGCTCGATAGGAATTGGAAGGGAAGACCAGTCATCAGCAGTGCCCTGAAGTATTGCGGATCCACCTGGCTCAGCACATGGACTACCGAACCACCAGTTCAGCTCCAAGGAGACCCTGCTTACTTCCTNCCCCCGCCCCCAGTTTGCTCTTTCACACTAACATCTTGCAGTTTGACACGGTCAAAATTTGCACCAAAAATAAGTAAATACTTTTGGTGCCAGCAAAGTCTTAATCGCAATTACTTCCTTATCTGTCAAATTGCATTGGTTCATTTCATAGCTGTTTGTGGGACATTGCTGTGCACAAATTGGCTGCCGGACTCGCTTACAAAATACACAATCACTACATTTCAAAATAAACGTTTGAAGCTCATTGAGATGTTTTCCAATGCAAAAAGCACTGTATGAAACACAAGGATTATTATTACTGTATTTTATTGAGATCGACACAGTCTAGTCACGTGTTGAATATCAAAATCTATCCTTTCAGTGGATTAATCAAGCAAGTTACAAGGTTGGAGTAGCGATGGAAATTAGTCCTAGTCCATTAATTTACATACCAAATTTACATGGTAATTTACATACCATGTACCATGCACTCACCATTCATTACATATATTGGATAACAAGGCAATGTGAAAAAACATACTTGTTATTTCTTTATAATGATCCATAATATGTCATTGAGGTTTAACCTCTTATTTTATTTAGTATTGCAAGATTTTGTCAACATTTCGTTTAAAAAGCAGTGTATGGCTGTAGGAAGCAATAAAATATGGATAAAGTATATAGTAAAGGTGCTGTGAAGGATATAAACAAATTGACAGAAAATAGAAAATAGTTAATGCCATAACAATTCGCTAAATTGGTGATTTAGGTTCCTCATATTTTACTACAGTAACAATCCACATCCTTCAGTCAATAGCTATTCTAATTCAAATGCTATTTTTCCAACTGGCACTAAAGTAAGTGCTAAAATTACTAACAGCCTGAAAATGTGCTCCTTTGTTCTTTTTGTTCCCTCTTCCCCACTCTGTTCCCTCTTCTGTGTAATACCTTAAGATGTCCAGAAGGGGGCACACCTCGATCAGATATCATCAGAGCAGCAAGCATTTGGGTAACACATGTCTGAGAGAATGTTTGACATTATCTATGTCCCACAGAGCTGTCCATTTGCTTTTATTGGGAGTGATTTTCACAGTGACATTGCTAATTTTTTAACCATTCATAATTTCGATTTTTCAAAAACAGATAAGAGAAATATTAGAGCACAAGGTTGCACAATTTTTTTTTTTGGTCAGCCGGGTGTCTGACACATGCGGAAAAAGTATGCTTAAGAGTATCGAAACCAAGCTAAGATTTACATGTATCCCACCTACACATAGGAATTCCGGAGCTAGACTGTCTCTCACTGGAGGGACACATCCTGTTTACTTAATTCCGGAAAGTTTTAGGCACAGGTTGGCAAGAGCCAAGTCTTGGGGACCCCAGAGTGTGCGTTGGGGTACTGCTGGAGTCTAACCAGCTAAAACCGCATAGCTTGCCATTGATATTGCTGTCCGCCAGCTTTCCCGTTGCTTATCCAGCCAGGACCACTGTTAGGACCACAGGAGCTGAGTGGGATGATTCCTTGCCTCCAGTGAATGGTCTGCCCTTCCAGGTCGTGCCGATGAGCCAGACTGGCTGTGCTGTCATCAGCAGTATCTTGGAATACTGCAAACCCACCTGGCTCAGGGACTGGACTGTCAAGACCGCCACAGATGGCTGGCTAGATTCCGACATCACGTTGCGAGGCATGTTACCTTGGAGCAAGTTCAACTCCAAGGGCATCCCGCTTTCCCAAACCCCAAGGAGGATCCATCTGCAAAATTAGTGTGTAATCTGTGAAATCTACACAATCTACTGAATAGAAAAGAACCTGATATTTTGAATTTTTTAAAGAAAATACTGAGAACTACTGTGGGCATTTGCCCACAAAACACACAGTCACTACACTTTACAGTCTATCCAGTCTACGGTATAATGCCTTTCATTTCCTCATGAAATGAAAGGCGTGATACTAAATGTAAAAATTGGTATAAAGTGCTGGAGAATTATTTTAACAGTTCCTTGGAGTTTTTAATGATTCAATACTACACATCACTCGTAAAAAAAAAAGGCTCCAGTTTTAGCACCTAGAACCTTACATAAGGAGTCTTGCTCTAACCAGGATATCCCTCAGTGGATTTTGTAAATTTTCAATAGTTTCAGCTGCCTCATGTCTTCAAGGCCTATGCCTGCAGTTTCCTCATATTTTAGTGTTGTTTTAAAATTCTGGTGTAACCAGTGTTTCTTTTTTATTTCATTGCACAGGTCACGCCAGGAGAATGAGATGGTGGACTCTGCCCCTCAGTGGGAACAAGTGCTGAGGAGGCAAAAGGAACGGTCACTGGCTGACCCCAACCACAGACGTTCAAAGCATAGATCACGATCGTACGTGTTTTGTCTCCACTCTCCCTCCCTCCCTCGATTCATTTATTTATTGGGAAATCTAGTGGAGGGTCATTGCAAACACTGTCTGGCAAGCATCCCACTGCTTGTTCAGCTAGGACCATCCTACCCATTGGGTTGGGGTTAACAGATGCCGAGTGGGAGGAATCATTGACCTAGAGACTGATCTACTCTCCCAATGCCTGCTGATTAAATCTGTTAATCCAGGCTGCCTGGTCAGTCTACTGGAGATCATGATACAGTATGTCATCATGGCAGAGAAAAATGGATCAGTCAAAAAGTGGTGAGGTACAACTAAACTTGGGTTTTAAAAGTGTGTAGAATGTATGAGTGAGTGAAGACTGAGGAAAGGAGGACTGTCAACTTCTGCCAAATTGTGTAGTTTTAGCGCTGCGGATTGATGTCCTCGGTTTAAACTCACCCTCACCCAGGAACTGTGTGGTCACCAACTCATATGTTCCATGAACATAATTTCTGTTTTTCTGCAGAAGAAGTCCAGACGTGCAGGCAAAGGAAGAACTATGGAAGCACATTCAGTGAGTAATTAAACCGTTTTGTGCTTTATTTAGATAAAGGGGGATTTTTTTTTCACCCAAACAGGGGGTTTCAATGTCTGGAGGGAGAAACCATCATCCTAATGTTAAACACTGTTCTAAAGCTCTCATTAAGGACAGTTTCTAGTGAGTAAAGTATTCTTTAATTCTCTCCGAGATAATTAGGGATAATAACTAGTTGGGCTGAATGGCCTGTTTCCGCAGTGTCCCATTCTATGTAATGTGTTCAGAAATACCATTATTCTACTCCATTGTGTCTGTTTTTGTGCTGTGGTAGGGGTGGTTTGCACAATTTATTACGCTATAATGCAGAGTTTACTTTTGTACACGGGGGACGGGTACGGGGGTGGGGGGACAGGACTTGTATATGTGACTTATTCATTGCAACAAGTCACATATATTATATAATGTGTATTACTTCTCCTTCTACCTTAACTCCAGAAAAGGGGTTGCCAGTCTTGCAATCCATCAGCGAGCAGGTTGAAAGTACGCCTCAGTAATTTGGAGTTTGCAGGACAATTAATCCTGTTAGTTAATCCTGTGCACTAAGTCAGTGCCAGGCTGCAAACTAGTGTATTTTACTCAGCATGAGAAGCAGACATTTATTTGCTGAAGCAATATTTTCTGGAAGACTGAAGTCTGGAAGTGAGAGAGAGGGAAAGAGTGTGAAAGTTCGGTTGGAGATGAGGTATGTAGTTTTGGACACTGAGACAGGAGAGAGAAAATTATGAGGCGGATTTGACATAAAGCAGAGCATGAATAATAGATGAAGGGTGGGATGAAGAGCAAATCCAAAAGCTGAGGGGAAATTTCCTTTGGTCAGCCAGATGCCAGACACATGTAAACCTTGCTTAAGAGTATCCAGACCAAACTACTGAGAGTTTCATATATGATTGGGGTCATTTGTCTGGAATGCAGTGCTCAGAGAGATGGACACTGTTTACCTAACCACAGAACATGCAGCTTCCCGCACTTCCTCTCCCGCACTAGGCTCCATGACCCTATCACCCCCATCCTCGCCAACTCCACTGGCTTCCCATCACACAGAGGATACACTTCAAGATCCTGGTCCTCACAATCAAAGCCCTCCACGGCCTTGCTCCCCCCTACCTCTGCGACCTCCTAACCCCCTACCATTCTGCCCGCTCCCTCTGCTCAGCGGGCTCCAGCCTGCTTCATGTCCCCCACCTACCCGCCCCACCATTGACAGGCGGGCCTTCTGCTACTCTGCCCCCACCCTCTGGAACTCCATTCCACAGTCCCTCCACCTCGCCCCCTCGCTTGCCTCCTTCAAGACCCATCTCAAGAACCTCCTCTTTGATCGTTCTTTTGATCACCCTCCTTCCCCCCCTGCCCTCCACCCTCCCCAATCCCAACCCCCACCTTGGGTCCGAAACACTGATTGTTCAGCGCCTTGGGATGTCCTCTTGACGTGAAAGGCGATATACAAATGTAATTTTGTTGTTGTAGGCGAACATGGTAGAACATCACAGTCTCTCACAAACAGCCATGGCGTGAATGACCAATTTTATTTGGGGGATTGTTAGTCAGGACACCATTGGATAAACTCCGTCTTAGATCCTTAAATGCCCCTGTTAGGTAAAACAGACTGAGCTGTTAAAAATACCTAGTTGTGGCTCCTCCAGTAGCTCAGTGAGTAAATGCATCGTTCAGTGTAGCACAAGAAAGGTCACAGTTTCACAGTTGGATTCCCTGGCTGCACTGTTAGCTGATCTCAAGCTACAATTGGCCTCAATATGTGTAAAGCTACAGAGGAGAAAGATTAGCCAGGGTTCCTACTTTAATCATCAGCCAGTGACTCAGCTGTAAAGAGTGTAGTTGTGTGTGGGAAGTTAAGACAGCTGTGATCTTCAGCTGTGATGTTCTCAGTGTTCGACTAGTACACTGGCACTCACAGCTTGCGTTACCACTTGAGTTGATGTCAGTAGTGCTCATGAAAAGAAAAGTGAAACAAATTGGCCCAAATAAATCCTGATTTGAGACCTCAATTCCATGAATTATAGTTGCTGATTTATCAGCCAATTGATGCCAGTCATCTTATTACCTTGTCTTTCTTTGACTGATGACTGTATCAAAGTACTAGAATTTAACTTTATATCTTTTGTAACCCAGAAGATATGCCATCCATCTCTTGTCTCAAGTTAACGTTTGGCTTCACAGAAGTTGAATAGCACATCACAAGCACATTGGGACGTCTTCCTGACTATATAAATGTAAATTTGTACTGTGGAGGATATTTGCTTTCAACTTGTCCTTCCTTTGAGCACGGGTCAACTTTAATTGGGCCTCATCTGCTTGTACAGATTCATTGAGAAGCCATACTGGAGAAAACAGACTTTAATTTTTGTTACTTTAATGCTTGCACATAAATTGCTATTTTGTCATTTCTCATTTCTTGTCTTGGCTTTCATTTTCTAGAAAGGAACTGGTGGATCCAACTGGCTTAACAGATGCGCAGCTGAAAGAGATTCCATACACCAAAGTAGCGTGAGTTCCTTCAGTTCAATATATGATCTACATGTTAGCTGTGTGTTGGAGCCACATACACTAAAAGATATCTTATGATTTCTAAAAATACGACTAAAATTTCATGTTTTAAAATTTAAGATTGTGTGGAATTTTGGAAACAGCCTTAAATTTGGTCTTCAGTTAGTTTTACAGTGCAGTGAATTATTAATAGTAAATTGTCTTCTAAAATCAAGACTGGATTTAAGACTATTAGAAATTCTACATGATCTTAATTTAATAATAATAATCCTTGCATTTGATATAGCGCTTTTTCACATCTTCTCGACATCTCAAAGCGCTTCACAGAATAGACTGTAAAGTGAATTGACTGTATATTTGTGGGCGAAACGCGGCAGCCAATTGCGCACAGCAATGTCCCACAAACAGTCATGGATTGAAAAATGACCAATTTATTATTGTCTTGGAGGGATTATTATTAGGCGTGAGGAGTAAGGAAACTTGCCCAAGGTTTTGCCCTGCCTGGAATTGAACCCAGGTGTCTCGCTTGCAAAGCGAGTGCTCTAACCACTGAAAGACAGGACTCTTTTTAAGACAATGAACATGAGAAATGCTGGACTCCAGTGTTTTTTTAAACAACACCACATATTGCTTGGTGTAGAAGTTGAATCGCGGAATTTTACATTTAAATATTATTGAACAAGCTCTTCATTTGAATTGTATTCTTATTTGTATGCAGTGAAACTGAGAGGGAGGGTAGGTGGGAAGTAAATGTTTTCCTGGTTATCGCCAGCAGTTCAGAATTGACCTTTAAACAACAACTAAGTCTCAGACAATAATGCCAAAAGGAAACCTCAGAAAAATGGAGACAGTGGCAACAACAACAAAATTACATTTATAGAGTTCCTTTCACGTCAGGAGGATGTCCCAATGCGCTGGACAGTCAGGGGTCAGGACCCGAGCATGCGGGAGGGGTGGGGTAGGGGTGAGGGAAGGCAGAGAGGTGGGAGGGCGACTGAAGACACGATCGAAGAGAAGAGTCTTGAGACCGGCCTTGAAGGAGGCAAGGGAGGAAGCGAGGACTGTGGGATGGAGTTCCAGAGTGTGGGGGCAGAGAGGCTGAAAGCCCGGCCACCGATGGTAGGGTGGGTCGGGCGGGAGACATGGAACAGGCCCGCTGAACGGAGTGTGCTGTGGAGGAGAGTAAAAGTAGAGGCTGGGTTGGTGCGGGAGGTGGGCCAGAGAGGGAGGAGTTCAGAGGACTCCAGGGCAGAGGAGAGGGTTTGCAAGGAGATCTTCTTCCATGGACAGTAGAAGATGGTGGTAGGTTTGAAGGCAGTGGGGAGAGGGATATAGGAATTGAGGGAGATGAAATGATGGTTAGAGATGGCCTTGTTGGTGATGGGAGAGGCGTGATCACCAGGTCGAGCAGGTGGCCGTGAACTTGGGTAGCAGAGTGGATGTGGAGGGAGAGGTTGAGAGAGAAGTCTGAGGAGGTGGAGCAAGAGGGGATGAAGTGGAGGTAGAAGTCGCCTAGGATGATGAGGCGGTCGGAGCAGAGGCAGAGGGAAGCTAGAAGGGTGGCGATGTCAGCGATGAAGGTAAGGGAGGATTTCGGGGGGGCGATAAATTAGGAGAATTTTTAGTGAGAGATGAGCAATGTGTTCAAAAGAGGGGAATGAGCCAGCAGAGTAGGGGGATAGGACAAGTGACGCCCTAGAGATGAGGGACACAACACCGCCACGGCGGTTGGGGGGTGGGGCATGGTGGTAGGTATAGCCGGGTGGTGTGGCCTCAGTTAGGGGGAAGGTGTCACCTGGGGTGATCCAGGTTTCCGTGAGGGACTGACATCAGCAGAGATAGACCTAACTATAATAATCAGTCACTTACTGAAAGTAAATATCTGTTCATTTATTCAATAAAGATAATGTTAAATATGTGTTCCCACAATGCATCCTTTAATGAAAAGAATGTTCAGCTAACAGCCCTGAAGCTGATGGTTAACACTCTTCATTGGTCCATGAATCAGGTTAAGTGACTTTCCATCAGTGTAATGCCAAATACTTAGGAATTCTTAACAGCATTAGAAAGCTCAAAAGGAAAACGTCCATCAAGGGGATTGTAAACTGTTTAGCCAAGCCTCACCCGATTGAAGTGATTAGCAAAGTCTCAGACAGTTGGGTTACTGTTAGTCACAGCTTTGTTGTCAGTTAAAACATGAATAAATGTGATTTAAAAAGGAATCTCGATAATAACTGGATGTTCGCTTTAGTGTTCCAAAGCCTATCGTTGTGATCCTGGTGGTTCCAATTATACTTTCTCTGTAACACACGCCTCATAATAATCCCTCCAAAAAACCCCAAACAATAATTAAATTGGTCATTTTCAATCTACGACTGTTTGTGGGACATTGCTGTGCGCAATTGGCTGCCGCGTTCGCCCACAAATATACAGTCAATTCACTTTACAGTGTGTTCTGTGAAGCGCTTTGGGACGTCCTCCTGATGTGAAAAGCGCTATATCAAATGCAAGGATTATTATTATTATAACCACTCTGTGTGGAGCAACTCTGCCATGTGCTTGTAAAGATTCATGATCCTAAAAGATATAGGTCAGCTAAACCCAAATAATATGTTTAACATAGTCAGAAACCCCTACAGCAAGGGACCAGGGGCTCAAACTCAACAGAGGTAGAGAACAGAGAGTTTAGATTTAACCATTTTACACAGTGTGGTGAATATGTGGAATGATCTACATATCCACAGGCAGCTTGTGTCGCCAAATTAATGAAGGAACTGGGTAGCTTTACAACCAACAAACCATAGAAATTTAAATCACTGAAGAGGGCCATTTGGCCCATCCTGTCTGTGTTGGCTCTTTAAAGAGCAATCCCTTCGGTTCCATTTACCTGCCCTTTCCCCACACCCCTAAAAGCTTATTCCTTTTTAGATAATTATCTAATACCCTTTTGAAAGTTTTGGTAAAGAAATTGATTTGAGATATAAATTGATCATTACAGTGTGAGTTTGGTTATAATATAACTGTTCCACTGTGGACACCATTCACTGTGCACAAAGTGCTCTGGGACGCTACCCGCGTGAAGAACGCTATATAAATGCAAGTTGTTGTTCCATCTGCGAAGACCCACTGTTTTTCCACAACTGTGTTTAAAATAGCTGACCTCCAGGTCATTAGGTCACCACAGACATCATTTTCTGTTTGTTGTGCCTGCACAAAGCAGGAAGTGACACCAGCGAAAACCTGATGACAATAACAACACTTGCAAGATGGCCATTTTAGCTTCCCATGCTTAAACAATTTCTGGCCAATTTCTGGGTTATCAGATTGCCTCCGACATCAAATACCAGAGATCAAATAATCAAATAATGATATGACACATTGAACTAAACATGGTGTCAACTCCTCACTGGAGCTGAGCTGATTTTCCTAATCAATAATAATAATAAGTCTTGCATTTGATATAGCGCCTTAGAACATTGTTGAAACGTCTCAAAGTGCTTCACAGAATATACTGTAAAGTGAATTGGCCATATATTTGGGGGGCAAAACGAGGCAGCCAATTGAGCACAGCAGTGTCCCACAAACAGTCATGGATTGAGTGACTAAATAATTCCTGTTTTCTTCACAATATCTTTTATATTGTTCCTCTTAAAATATTTGTCAAATTCTCTTTCAAATGTTGAGACAGTCGGATTAACCATACATGGCAAAGGGTTTCATGTTCTCTGTGAGAAAAAAGGGGAGAAATTAGACAAATTAATTACCCTGGCCAAAATCAGATGAAAGTCAATATCTGGTTATTGATTGAGGTGCAATAGGCAAAATAAAACCATCATTTCTTTCTTACCAAAAAAAATTCAATTAGTCTGACTTTTCCCTGCTTAATCTTTTTGTAATATTTTTTGTGCAGGACTCAAGGTGACCCCATCCGCATCAGACATTCACATTCACCTCGAAGCTTTCGTCAGTACAGACGCTCGCAGTGCTCTGATGGAGAGCGATCAGTACTATCTGAAATAAAGTAGGTATATTAGAGGTTCTCCCTTCAATTACATTGATGTGGAAAAAAGTAACTTCAATTATTTCAGGAAAGGATTAACTGTAGTAAATGATTAATTTTCATTGCTACTAATTTGAAACATAGGTTCTGTAAAGATTTCACTTTAAGGCACCTGAGATTAGAAGAAATTAGAAGAAAACATGTTGGTCTTTGACAGTGCTATCTATGGTGTGGCTGAGAGCAGCGAGTTTGGCTGGGAATCTGAATCCTGTCCAAAGGGATCATTGGAGACTTCTCATGCAATCTGTTGTGTTATATAAAGACTCATTGAAATGTCTGAGCAAATTAGAATCAATCCATTTCCCTGTTGTGTAAAATATCTTAGATGTTCAAATTAGCTTAATCGCATATGACAGGTTTTTATAAGATAAAAATGAAAATGCAGCACAAATTAATAGCGAGTCCTTATGGTTTTCCAGGCTGGCTTTTTAGGCTTTTCTGATGTTGGATAATCAGCAGGAATGCCCATCCGCAGGGGAATGTCAGCTTGCCTATGCCTCAGCTAGTAAATAGATTGGCAGGATGTGGCACTAGTATGATCCTGAGCCAAACAGACCAAGCAATATCTGAGGTTCAAACCTCGGTAATCAAAGCACTGCTGACTGAGAGGCCAGTGTGCTTGCTGCACACTGGTTTGGAATTCCCTGGGCTGAACGGGGAGAAAAAAACAAACAGTCCTCCTGTTCCCCAATCTCTTTCCAGTAACTCATACTAGATGTAAAGTGTGAGGATCCTTGTTACATGTACGGTGTGTAGTGTGCTAACTTATATACTGTGAGGATCTTTGGTACCATACACTAGGCAGACTCCTGATGTGACTTCAGATGTGAAGGGACATCCTCTCAATTTGAAAAGGGCTATACAAATGTAATTTGTTGTAGTTGTTGAAAGTGAGGGATGTTCTGGAGGTGGACAAAAGTAATCAAGAATGTTTGTAGGGTTCGAAAGAGAGCTGAGAGTCAAACCAAAGGCTAGGGTGGCACATTGACTGGCTCATGAGCTGGAGTGAGCATTTGGGAGGTTTATGAAGCCAGTCATTTCTGGTTGACATTCAGCTGAAGGAAGTTGAGGGTCACCCATAACTGGAGGAAAAGAGAGAGATAATGGAAGAAAATTTGAGCTTTTAAAAATTTTAAGCATGTCATTTGACTACAGGCTAATGCGAATCACAAAGGTAGTCAGTCAGCAGAATGCCATTCGCTTTATCTGCAGCTTATCAGTCAGCCCATTAAGTAGTACCGATGCTGTGGCACAATACTTTGTCTTTAGATTATTATCCAACTGGAAATACAATTTTCTGCATGAATCTGGTATTTGCAACAGACAGGTTAGCATGTGGCCAAAGCAATCCCATTGCACCACCTTCAACAACAACAACTTGCATTTATATAGCGCCCCTCATGCACGAGACTGCTATATAAATGCAAGTTGTTGTTGTTGAACTCAAGCATCCCAGAGTGTTGACAGTGTCGGAACAGAACGCTGAGCCGGGGGCAGGTTACTGTAAGCATAGTCGAAGAGGAAGGTCTTCATGCGTGACCTGAAAGTGGGGAAAGTGGGGACAAGGTGAAGGATAGACGAAGAGTGTTCCAGAGTTTTGGGATGTAATGACTGTAACTGCGATCACCTTTAGTTACTGTTCAGCGAGTTTAACATTTGGCAGCACCTTTCTCTTTAAATAATTCTGATCTATAAGTTCAGCAATAACGTTCTGCCTGATCTTCACTTTGGAGAGGACTACCACAGAAACCAGTAGCAGAATAGTTTTGTCTTTGTCTGTCCGATGACCAGTAGTAGACAGCCTCAACCTTTATTTGTGTATACTCTTTCAATATTTACAGTGAAATCTCACCAATTAGGTCAGCTAATGGACTGAGGAAGTCTGACAACAACAGGTTGACATCGCTAATGAGCCGTGACTGAAATTATCCAAAACACAAACTACTGAACATACACTACTTGTTTATTGCCAGAATGTGCATATATCCTGTGCATTACTGCTTAAAGAAACTGATGAAAACAACACAATTTACAATTGTATAGTCCTTTGTATGTAGAACGTCTCACACTTTGTTGTCCCCACATTCTTAAAAGAGGCAACTTTTTTTGATTTTTTTTGTGTGATTCTTTGGTACTGGTCGTATTCTGGTATCTCACTCTGTGTGATTTGGGTGGATTTCAGGGTGTGAAAAGCACTGCGAATAACAATCTGGCCTACTTTCTGAGAAACAAACCACAGAGTCAACTGCCAATTGATAACCACATGCTCAACGTACGAGGTGGCCTCATAAATGAGTTGAATTGTTGTATAATGCAGAAACAAAACACTGACCCCATTAGTCAGTTGACCACATTAGTTGGGTGACTTTGAAGTGAGTTTCCACTGTACACAGTTGCAGCTTTTGCCTAGTTTTATCTCGTACTCACTCCGAGATATTTGATTCTTGAAGAGAAAACTTCAAGATTATTATGTGGCTCACTAATTGCATTATTAAAGCTCTTTGCAAATGAGCTGTTAGCTTGCGGGCAACTTCAGAAAACTCCTACATACCCTGAGCCAACTGGTGTCTTGTGAAACTTTTGCTCACCTGCTTTAGACTATGTTACAATAAGATCTGCAACTGAAACTAAGTCAATTGCTACTCAAGGTGGTCTGGCATCCTAACATATAACATTTATAAAAAGAAGCTTGTGGCAGTCGCTGTGCGTGCCTTTTTAAATTAATCTGAAGCTCAAGTGCCTATGGAATTCCAGAGGCCTATACAGAGCCCAGTGCTACCTAATCTTTTTAAATTTCTCGCACTGGTGAAACTGTGGGTACAAACCTGGACAGATATATTGTACTTGGTTCATTTAATTTTTGCCATTACCAGGTGTTATGATGGCTTCAAATTAATGATTGTCAATCGATTGACATTTACATTGAAGGTTTACCAATTAGGAAATAATTACTGCAGGTTTATTGATTTTGCAATCCAGCTAAATACTCTGAAATGTCACTGACTGTATCAATTTTAATCTAATACAAAATGAATATCATACTGATGCCTTTAGTTCTAGGACTGATCTAGTGGCCCCACTGCCCGTGACCCGTGCCTCAGATGTTCAGGGTCCTCACGCCTCACCATCAACACTGCATCAAGTGAGTTTCATCTAAACTATTACAACTCTATGGGAATATGATATGATGTGCTGCAGTTTAGAAAATCATGTAATTGTAGGAGTAATTTATATGTGCATTAATCCACTGTGATTATTTTCCTTTGGATAAATGATCATGTTAGTCTTGTGTGACTTGAATAATCACTTGCTTATTGTGATTGTTTCAAAGTATCTAATAACTGGATGCAGAAATTGTATTTTGATAAATGGGTAAATGAAAAGATTAGCTATTAATACTTTTAATTTTTGTGACCAACAGAAGAAAGACAAATCTGAAGGTAATGCAACAGAAAGAAAGGCACAAGGATCAAGTGATGACTGGAATGCAAAATATAGCATTAAAACGTCTAGAACCATACAAACCCCACGGATAAAAGCAGAGACTTGATTATCTTTACACCGATGACTGGAAAAGATATTGGCGCACTGTGATCTAAAACTGTTGAGGTTTCTGCACACCACAACAACGATGCCTTGAGCGAAAACTGAGTTTGAAATTGTTTCTGTGTCAGTGTAACACAGTATGTTTATGGGCAACTTTATAGACTGGTGTCATACAAACCTAAGCTGTGCTGTATGACAAACCTTTTTTTTAAAATGTTGATTTTCTTTATCAGTGGCTCAATTGCAAATGACCATTAACTAGTAATGAAAATCATATTCATGACACATTATGGGACCAGAAATCTTTTTTTAATATTTTTTAAAACACAGGTATACCTGATTTTCCTGTATTTCGGTATGTACCAAACTGTCCTTAAAACACAGGTTGCCATGATGTGAACAGATATAGAGCTTATGAAATTCAGTTTTATACTGGAATGTTTATCTACTGTATTAAAGGCTTTCTACATTAGTGCATCACCATTTTAAAATGATACTCAATTGGGCGCAATAATTAAAATTTGGTGGGAAAGCTTAACAGTAATCTGGATGTACCTTTTAACAGTGTTACTTGTTTGGTTCCTACCAGAACTCATTCAGATCCTTTACTTTCCATCCCTTGTGTAGCATCAATAAATAAAAATGGCATTGTTTGACCTTTAAATTCACCAAAATAGAAGCACCTGTTGAGGTGCACAGCTTTTTAAGTGTCACCTGTTTGGTGAGGAAAAAAGTGGCTAACTCCAAGAGTGCACTGAGTGTGCATTAAACAGTATCAATCAGGTTGGCCTGACAGTTGTCTAAGGGTTAGCAAGCACTAACTTCGAATTTAGTAACATTTCCATTTTGCTACATTCATGTGTATTGAAATTGCCAGTTAATACATGTTATTGCATCACCTGTGATCAGGATTTGTTTCAATTTTTTGAAAGTGTAGAAAGAACTCTTCTGTAAATCATTTGCGTTGTGAATGCTACTGAAACATTGCATGAAACTGTAAAATACATTTGCTGAAGTTTCTTGGACTGTTGGTAAGTGAATGTAATAATAATGGGGTCTATCTGCCACTCTCAGCAGGAATTACTCAGGTTCTGTTAGTCTTTCTTATGGGTTGTAAGGCTTGAATTTTAATATTGAACTTAATTGCTGTTTGAAAATCAAGCTTTTTAATGTTGATAATAATTTCTGCTAGTAATACAGGTGAGTATGTATTTGGCCCAAAGCATTAAGTTAAATGGTTATTGGGGGAGAAGGTGAATCATCTCAGATTGCAGTTACGTGATAAAACTCATGCTCTGACGATAGTTAATTGTCACACAGGGAGGTGTTATTTTATGTTACCTGCTGAGTTAACTACAGGCTGTCGAATGGCCTTCACAACAATCTGGTTTCTGTAAAATGTGATGTGGAAAAGCAGTAGGTGGTGATGACTGCTGACCTAAATCAGATTTACAAAATTCACAAATGTAGCAAACCCTGTAACCTCACAGAATGAGGTGACACAAGGCAGCAGTCACCAGACCAGGAGGATTGAAAGTTCATCACCCACCCGACTCAGATAGGCCCCATTTAAGACCAAGTACAATGTGTTTATTTTCACCTTGCAAGGTGTTGGGGGAGATGTTATCATCAGTGTTTGTATTTTCTGTGCAAAGCAGGTCTCAGCTGTGATCAGTTTTGTTTGCCAATCCCATTTTTGATTGTGTAGGGTGTATGTTTAATTGTATTTCAGCAACTCAAGAACAGTTTGTAATTTTCTAGAAATGTTAACATCAAAAGGGGAACAACCACATGCACAGTGTGAAATGCTAGGTTAGCAGAACTTTCAGGGAATTAAATTAAAACTATTGCTGTAATATTGTGCATCTTGGTGTACATTGTACCCACAACTTGGTCATAGTAGAATGAGGAAAATAAATCCAGAATTTATATTAAACAAGGTTCTAGATGGGTTTTTCCTAATAATTCAGGTACAATTATGAATTACACACTTAAAGCACCAACACACTGAGTCATTCTCTAATCTGCTTTCTAATCTGATTTTTTGGGGGAAATGCATGCCAACAAATTCTATGGGCACATTATTTAATTACAATGGAAACCTCACTTTCCCAGACACCCTGGAAGATCAAGTGATCGATTTGTAGAAACAATACAAATACAGTTTCTTCATAATCTTTATTGTGAAGTTAAATGCTGGTAATTTTTTTTACCAAATGAAATTGTACAGAAAAGCATGTACAACTGCAAGTACAAACAATTAAATTAGGCAAAATAAAAGTTTTACCCCATGACTTGTAATGAAGACATATGAAACAAGCAGCAAATAAGAAGCAATATGAAAGGAAGCCAAATGGTGGATTAAAATATACATCAAAGTCCCAAGGTTTCACAGGTTCCCATCCCAATTACTAGGTACTCAACTCAAAGACAAACAGCCAACTGGTCCTTATGTCCTGGAAATGTCCACGTCCCCCAGTGCGATTTCAAGATGAATCTTCCTGCATAAGATTAAAAAAAGGTGTTAATTCACATATAGCCATAAGGTACAGCACATATCCACAATATTCAGGACCAGAAGTATTTCAGATGTAATTTTTCTAGATATACGCAAGCTGGATATTACCTTTAGTTTACTAAATTAAGCAGTTTCTCACAGCTAGCCAACAATTGGACATTACAATATCATAAATGTTGTCAGCAGTCAGGCAGGGCGGGTACCATTGTTCCTGCAATGATTTTCAGGTACTCGATTATTTCAGGGTTGATATATCTTTCCTGGAGTGATCCAAAGTGAGGTTGTAGATGGACATACATGGTCCTCTTCAAGGCTGTGAATGTCAAAATAGATCAAGATTAGTTACTGACAGCAGGAGGGCAAGTGGGGAGGATAGCCCAGTAACAGCTTGGTCAGGTAGGATAATTAAGAATTTCAGAAATCAGCAACTGCACAGTCATTGGGATGTGGAATGCCTTGCCAAGTAAGATGATACAGGCAGAGTCCATTGTGGGTTAAAGAGGGAAGTAGACAGTTTATGATAGTTGGTGGGTGAAGGGTATGGAATTAGGGCAGAGGGATTGATTGCTCCAAGAGCTGGTGTAAACTCGATTAGTCGAAAGGCCTCCTTCTGCGCTTTAAGTTTCAATGATTCTAACTAAGCTGAGACAAAAGATGTAAAACTGAGAATACTAGTTTATCACTGAAGATTTGGCTATATGTGTGCACATCCTGTATGACTTTCTGATGCCACATCTTCAAAACTGAACCCAAAGCCCAACATACTCTAAAGGGAAATTTAAGTAAATGAGAAACAAGTTTATAACACCAAGCTAAGCACATCAGGAGAATTATATTGAATAAGATTTCTATTTCTAATTAGTTGCCCGGATGAATGTACAGTATAGCAGTTTTCACATAGGATAACATCTTTATAGAGATGGAGTGAAAACTGGAGGGGGAATGAGACAGAGGGATTCAAGGAGAGGTAATAATAATAATAATAATCCTTGCATTTGATATAGCGCTTTTCACGTCAGGAGGACGTCCCAAAGCGCTTCACAGAATAGACTGTAAAGTGAATTGACTGTATATTTGTGGGCGAACGCGGCAGCCAATTGCGCACAGCAATGTCCCACAAACAGTCGTAGATTGAAAATGACCAATTTATTATTGTTTTTGTTTTTTTGGAGGGATTATTATTAGGAGTGTGGAGTAAGGAAACTTGCCCAAGGTTTCGCCCTCTGCCTGGAATTGAACTCAGGTCTCTCACTTGCAAAGCGAGTGCTCTAACCACTGAGCTCCAGGACTCCACAAAGGTAAGAGTGGAAGGACGTGGAAGCAGGAACAAGGAACACGCAGCAGACCATTTGCATTTACCAGACTGCAGAGTTTTAACTGACCAAGACACATGGAATGTTTAATTTACTCTGGAAATGATTACCAACCAGACTTTTCACATTACTGAATCATAAAGTTACAACAACTGAAGTTGTAATTGGACTTTGGCACTACACCCAATCTGAACATTCCAGTGGTGCGTTTCAAAACCCACTGGGTATCACAAGGTTCATTTAAACAGTTTTTTTTAAATCAATGTCTCTTCTGCATCTGGCAACACTCAAGTACTGGGAACAAGAGTGAAAAATACAATGCAAAAGATTTCCTTTCTGCCTTTTTTGACACTTCAATAATTCAATAAAATGAAGAATGAGCAACACAAAGGCAAGTTAAAAAGTGTCATGAACTTAGTCCCACTCCACAAAGAGGAATCACACTTTCTAACAAGAAGTTAGTACAATTGGGTATTCAAGAAATCAGTAAATGATTACTGTACTGCTGGTGCAACATAAACACAGTGGTCTTTCCCTATTAATACTGCCGTGACTGACATTCAACAGCTCGTCGACAAAAGGCAATGTGGCAAACCGTTCATCACAACCCCAGCCAGATGGACAGATCACATACTTGTATTTTCTCTAATAAGTTTTGAATTTGTAAGGCTTCAAATCTCTAGATAATTTATTAACTGAGACTAACAGCGTTTCAAGGCTGCAGCTGCATGAAACATCTTAAGTAATTCAGTTTCAGAAACTGATAGGATGAGTGACCAGTGCTTTGCCATTTAAAAAGATCAATATCTTTACCTCCTTCTCTCCCAATCTCAATTAACAGTTCAATCATGAAACTTGTACAGAATACAATATTGCAACTCTGATTTATACAATGCCCTTTACACAGGATAGCATCTGTACAGTGGTGGGGTTGGAAGCCGAGCAAGGGAGAAGGTGACCAATAGACACCGCCAAGGAGGCAAGTCTAAGGATGGGAGGAGGGAGAACCTGCAGACAATTTGAGCAGGAAGATTTCCATGTCTAGCCAGCACACATATATGGAACTCAATCTGGTTTGGATATGCTTAAGCATGCTGATGCGTGTCTACAGGTGTCAGTTACCCTGCTGATCATAAAATACTGTAACCATTTGCATCTATATAGCACTCTCCATGTAGGGTAACATCTCAAAGAGTGTTTAGAAGCACTTAGATAGAGCAAGTTTCCTCTGCTCTGCTCTATCTTAAAAGCAGCTGGGTGGGAAAGATGGGGATCAAGGAAGCAGGCGAGGTAGGTTTCATTTTGGTTATGAGTGGCAATGGATAAGAGAAAAATAGGGGCAAAGGTGTGCAGGATTGAGGCAGTGGCAGGCAGGCAGCTGAATACAATTGTGAATAAACATTAAAAGTCAAACAATGACCCCCACCTATCCCAGATATGCATTTTAGTAATAATCCCTCCCAATATCAAAATCCAATTCTGAAAACCTCAACTGATCTTTCGCAAGGTACCTAAAAGTGCAATCAAAGCACAAAAATGGGGGAAATCTGGATCAAGGTTGTAAATCTAGAATACAGGCTAGTTAAGTTGTAACTTAATATAAAATCCATCATTAAAAAACACGTACCTGGAATTCTACAGACGTCAATCGCTGGGAGCTGCATGTATGTACAACATCCGTTACAAAAAAGGTCAACGAATAATCATCTTTGAATAGTTGTTACCCATCACGAGAAAGATGACTTGGAGACCCAACTGCAGATAGATGGAATATTTCCATATTAATTCCTTTTATTACAACTGATCTTCTCCTGCAACATGGTCAAACCCCTACTATTTAGTGATGTGCAGCACACAATATGCTAAGGAGGGAAGGTGCACCTCTCCCAGCAGACAATCACATGCCAGTTACTGTCCGCTCTTTTTGACGCCGCGTCCGCCTGAGAACTGACAAACGGGCAACACAAGAGCGATCAACGCGAGAAATCATGTGCAATACACCGCCTGTACTGAACACCCGTGCTCAGCGATACACCACCTGTACCAGGCCCATGTATTCAGCGATACCTCCCTATCCCTCAGAGAATCGAGTACAAAACCTTGTTCTCACCTTCAAAGCCCTCCACGGTCTTGCTTCCTGCTACCTCTCCGACCTCCTAACCCCATATCAGCCTATCTGCTCCATCCGCTCGGTGGACACCGGTCTGCTTCAGGTCCCCCGCGCTTCCCGCCCCAACATTGGTGGTCGGGCATTCAGCATCTCTGCCCCTGCACTCTGGATTTGTATCCCGAATCCCTCCGCCTCTCTTGCCCCTTCAAGTCCCGTCTAAAGACCTTCCTCTTCAACCACGCCTTTGCCCACCGCTCACCCGTGCCGTCCAGCCCTCCTGACCCCAACTCCCAACCAAAAACCCCCGACTATCCAGCGTCCTGGGCCGCGCCTCCAACGTGAAGGGCGCCGTCTACACGCGTAACGTATTGTTGCTCCCGCACCATCCGTGTGCCGGGCCCAACTGCACAGCAACAACAGAAAATCCACCGGAGAGAGAGAGAGAGAGGGGGGGGGGGGGGGAAATCATACCGTGAATGGCTCCAGAAGTCAATCATTGGGAACTGCACTTATGTGCGTGTAACCATCTTTGGATGAACAGTCACCCACCACCAGAGACGTGGCCTGGGAGACCGACCTGCAGACAGGCGGAACGATTGGGTGCATTAATTCCTTTGATTGCACCTGATCCTCGGCCCCCACACGGCCGAGGCCCGACTGTCGTGTGATGTGCCGCACACACCCCGGGCCGAGGAGGGAAGGTGCAGCCCCTCCCGCCGGGCCATCGCCTGCCGTCCGTCCACACACCGTCCACACTGAGAACTGGCAAACCGCCCCCCACACGAGAGCGCTCCGCGCGAGGAAGCGACGTGCAATACACGTGGCAATAAATGCACCGCGTGGACCGGGCCCACCCCGAGCCGCAGTAACCCTCCTCCCCGCGGGCCGCACTCACACCCCCCCCCCATCCTTCCCCCTCACAGTCACAACTGGTAGTGTGAGAGTCACGGGTGTAAATGACTGTCGTGTTATTGAGAAATGACCGTTTAAAGCGCCTCAAACACCTCATTCGAAGACTCCCATCTCGGCCTCGGGAACCGCGCGCCGAGAACGACCGTTGACGGGACCGGAAGAAGGAGCGGGCGGGGGCGGGGCAGGTCACACGTCAGATGATTGACATCCCGGCGGCCGCTGTCCCGCCTCCCAACCAATCAGCTACAGCGCGGGGTGAGGCGGCGGCGGGGTCGTGCGGGGCTCGGGACACAGCGCTTCCGGGTCAGTAACGGCCGCAGGCGCGGGTCCCCCGCGGGGTGGGTGGCGGTCGGTCGGTCGCGGTGTTTAGTTTGTTCTCGGGGTTTAAGTGCTGACTTCAAACGTGTGTGTTTATTGCTACGAGTGTAGAAATGACGCGAATACAATCGCAAACTCGGAAGTGACGCTGTTGATGTGACGCGAGTGTGACCCGAGCGGCCGGAGATCACAACAGGGCATCGAATACCAGCCTAAAAGTAGCCCAATATGGTGTGTCACCTCCTCTCCTGTGGGCAGCACAGCGGCCGATCTGGGTTGAGTTTGTCAGTGCTTCTGAAACCGTAAGGACTTCAAAGAGAGAGGGGAAAAAAACACAAGTTTTGCTGTTTTAAATTTTTAAAAAAATTAAAAATTAGGTACCCGCCCAAAGCCATGTTTTCCCGCCCAGTAACAGCACCAACACAACAACACATTGCGTAAATGGGTGTCTAATAATTAATCTTTTAATTAATTGCATTCGTGCAATTTGGGAGGACGTCCCGAGGTGCCAGACAGTGAAGCGATTGCACCAACCACGTGTTTATATATAGCACTCTTCACGCCAGACAGGGTCTCGGAGCGCTTCCAAGTTGGGGTTGGGAGTCAAAAGGGGGTGAACCCGCCCAACCCGGCAACGTTGTGGAGTCTCGTTGATTAGGGCACTCGCCTCGCACGCGAAAGTATCTGGGTTCAATTCCCAGGCAGGGTGAAAAGTTAGGCAAGTTTCCTTACTCCACTCACAACAACAACAACAAAATTACATTTGTAAAGCGCCTCTCACGTTGGGAGGACGTCCAAGGCAACGGACAGACAGTTAAGGACCCGAGCTGAGGGTCGGGGAGGGCAGGGGTGGAAGAAGGGAGATCGAAAGCACGGTCGAAAAGGAGGGCCTTGAGGTGGGTCTTGAAGGTGGTGAGGGAGGGGGTGAGACAGAGAGACTGCGGGATGGAGTTCCAAAGGGTGGAGGCAGAGTGGCGGAAGGCTCGCCCACCGATAGTGGGGCGAGCAAGGCGGGGGATGTGAAGCAGGCCGTATCCTGCTGAACGGAGGAAGCGAACAGGATGGTAGGGGGTTAGGAGATCGGAGAGGTAAGGGGAGCAAGACCGTGGAGGGCTTTGAAGGTGAGGACCAGGATCTCGAACTGTATCCTCTGTGTGATGGGAAACCAGTGGAGTTGGGCAAGAATGGGGGTGATAGGGTCGCAAGGCCTAGTGCGGGAGAGGACATGGGCTGCAGAGTACTGGGTGGAGTCCTGTAGCTCAGTGGTTAGAGCACTCGCTTTGCAAGTGAGAGACCTGAGTTCAATTCCAGGCAGAGGGCGAAACCTTGGGCAAGTTTCCTTACTCCACACGCCTCATAATAATCCCTCCAAAAAAACAAAACAATAATAAATTGGTCATTTTCAATCTACGACTGTTTGTGGGACATTGCTGTGCGCAATTGGCTGCCGCGTTTGCCCACAAATATGCAGTCAATTCACTTTACGGTATATTCTGTGAAGCGCTTTGGGACGTCTAGAAGACGTGAAAAGCGCTAAATCAAAGGCAAGGATTATTATTATTATGATCTGCAGCCTGTGGAGGGAGGAGTTGGGGAGGCCGACAAGCAAGGAGTTTGCGTAGTCAAGCCTTGATGATAATGAAGGCGTGTATGAGGGTTTTGGTGGCCTGCGGTGTGAGATAGTGGTGGAGCCGGGTGAAGTTCCAGAGGTGGGGAAAGGCAGAGTGGGTCATGGCGCAGATGTGGGGTAGAAAGGAAAGTTGAGGGTCAAAAAGACCCCAAGGTTCCGGACTGGCTTAGTAAGGTGGAGTGTGCACCATGGATGGTGATGCTGTCAGCGCCTGAGGTGTGGAGGCCCTGATGGGAGCCAATCAGGAGAGCCTCGGTCTTGTTGATGTTGAACTGAAGAAAGTTAGTTCTCATCCAGGACTTGATGTCTGACAGACATTGTGTCAGGACAGCAGTGGTCCTGGAGTCCAGGGTGGAGGCAGAGAGGTACAGTTGGGTGTCATCCGCATACATGTGGAAGTTGATCCCATGTCTGTGGATGATGTCACCAAGAAGGAGCATATAGATGTTGAAGAGGAGGGGACCAAGGACAGAGCCCTGAGGAACGCAGCATGAGATGGTCCGGAGACTAGAGGAGAAGCCGTTTGAGGAGATGGAAGTGCAGGCGGTGTGAGAGGTACGATCTGAACCAATCAAGGACAGCGCCGTGGAGGTTGAGGTGAGAGGAGAGGCGGTGGATGAGGATAGAGTGGTCGACAGTGTTGAAAGCAGCAGAGAGGTCAAGGAAGGCACACCTCTGTTTAACTCGCAGTAAGCAGGAATCCAGTTGTTAGTCACTTTTCTGGGGGTTATAATCCCTTAAAAAAATAATAATGTGGTCACTCAATCCACAACTGTTTGTGGGACACAGCTATGTGCAATTGGCTGCTGCGTTTTGCCCACAAAGTATACACTTTACAGTATATTCTGTGAAGCGCTTTGAGATGTCTCATGCTTTCAGCTTTAATCCAAAAATTTTAACTTTCAGCTAATCCAAAACTCCGCTGCCCCATGCTCACTCGCACGAAACTCACACTGGCATCGGCATCGAATACCAGCCTAAAAGTAGCCCAATATGGTGCGTCACCTCCTCTCCTGTGGGCAGCACAGCGGCCGATCTGGGTTGAGTTTGTCAGTGCTTCTGAAACCGTAAGGACTTCAAAGAGAGAGGGGAAAAAAAACAAGTTTTGCTGTTTTAAATTTTTTTAAAAATTAAAAATTAGGTACCCGCCCAAAGCCATGTTTTCCCGCCCAGTAACAGCACCAACACAACAACACATTGCGTAAATGGGTGTCTAATAATTAATCTTTTAATTAATTGCATTCGTGCAATTTGGGAGGACGTCCCGAGGTGCCAGACAGTGAAGCGATTGCACCAACCACGTGTTTATATATAGCACTCTTCACGCCAGACAGGGTCTCGGAGCGCTTCCAAGTTGGGGTTGGGAGTCAAAAGGGGGTGAACCCGCCCAACCCGGCAACGTTGTGGAGTCTCGTTGATTAGGGCACTCGCCTCGCACGCGAAAGTATCTGGGTTCAATTCCCAGGCAGGGTGAAAAGTTAGGCAAGGTTTCCTTACTCCACTCACAACAACAACAACAAAATTACATTTGTAAAGCGCCTCTCACGTTGGGAGGACGTCCCAAGGCAACGGACAGACAGTTAAGGACCCGAGCTGAGGGTCGGGGAGGGCAGGGGTGGAAGAAGGGAGATCGAAAGCACGGTCGAAAAGGAGGGCCTTGAGGTGGGTCTTGAAGGTGGTGAGGGAGGGGGTGAGACAGAGAGACTGCGGGATGGAGTTCCAAAGGGTGGAGGCAGAGTGGCGGAAGGCTCGCCCACCGATAGTGGGGCGAGCAAGGCGGGGGATGTGAAGCAGGCCGTATCCTGCTGAACGGAGGAAGCGAACAGGATGGTAGGGGGTTAGGAGATCGGAGAGGTAAGGGGAGCAAGACCGTGGAGGGCTTTGAAGGTGAGGACCAGGATCTCGAACTGTATCCTCTGTGTGATGGGAAACCAGTGGAGTTGGGCAAGAATGGGGGTGATAGGGTCGCAAGGCCTAGTGCGGGAGAGGACATGGGCTGCAGAGTACTGGGTGGAGTCCTGTAGCTCAGTGGTTAGAGCACTCGCTTTGCAAGTGAGAGACCTGAGTTCAATTCCAGGCAGAGGGCGAAACCTTGGGCAAGTTTCCTTACTCCACACGCCTCATAATAATCCCTCCAAAAAAACAAAACAATAATAAATTGGTCATTTTCAATCTACGACTGTTTGTGGGACATTGCTGTGCGCAATTGGCTGCCGCGTTTGCCCACAAATATGCAGTCAATTCACTTTACGGTATATTCTGTGAAGCGCTTTGGGACGTCTAGAAGACGTGAAAAGCGCTAAATCAAAGGCAAGGATTATTATTATTATGATCTGCAGCCTGTGGAGGGAGGAGTTGGGGAGGCCGACAAGCAAGGAGTTTGCGTAGTCAAGCCTTGATGATAATGAAGGCGTGTATGAGGGTTTTGGTGGCCTGCGGTGTGAGATAGTGGTGGAGCCGGGTGAAGTTCCAGAGGTGGGGAAAGGCAGAGTGGGTCATGGCGCAGATGTGGGGTAGAAAGGAAAGTTGAGGGTCAAAAAGACCCCAAGGTTCCGGACTGGCTTAGTAAGGTGGAGTGTGCACCATGGATGGTGATGCTGTCAGCGCCTGAGGTGTGGAGGCCCTGATGGGAGCCAATCAGGAGAGCCTCGGTCTTGTTGATGTTGAACTGAAGAAAGTTAGTTCTCATCCAGGACTTGATGTCTGACAGACATTGTGTCAGGACAGCAGTGGTCCTGGAGTCCAGGGTGGAGGCAGAGAGGTACAGTTGGGTGTCATCCGCATACATGTGGAAGTTGATCCCATGTCTGTGGATGATGTCACCAAGAAGGAGCATATAGATGTTGAAGAGGAGGGGACCAAGGACAGAGCCCTGAGGAACGCAGCATGAGATGGTCCGGAGACTAGAGGAGAAGCCGTTTGAGGAGATGGAAGTGCAGGCGGTGTGAGAGGTACGATCTGAACCAATCAAGGACAGCGCCGTGGAGGTTGAGGTGAGAGGAGAGGCGGTGGATGAGGATAGAGTGGTCGACAGTGTTGAAAGCAGCAGAGAGGTCAAGGAAGGCACACCTCTGTTTAACTCGCAGTAAGCAGGAATCCAGTTGTTAGTCACTTTTCTGGGGGTTATAATCCCTTAAAAAAATAATAATGTGGTCACTCAATCCACAACTGTTTGTGGGACACAGCTATGTGCAATTGGCTGCTGCGTTTTGCCCACAAAGTATACACTTTACAGTATATT